GGGGTAGCCCCCAGCTACTGGAGTGCAGGCACATCTAGGAACTCCAGCCTGCTGTGCACCCGAGATAGCCGAGGGCCAGAGGCAGCAGTTGGTTCAGGGCTCATCACCTGGCACCACCACTTAATCCCTAGGGATACCCATTTCGCTGATACAGCACCCCATCTTTAAATGGATAATGTGCTGACCATGGTGGCCCATGTCTTTAATCCCAGAACAATAATTACCAAGACAGCTGTAGCTAAAAAGTCAAGTTACATAGCCAGTCTGACTCGGGGAATCTTCCAGAGGCCTCATTTCTCTTCCATGTCACTCTCTGGCCTTTCAACATACACCTCCCCTAAAGATTGTGAGACTCGAGTCGCCCACACACCTCCAGGATTATTGAAACTCAAGCCAAAAAAATAAAAAGAATCCCAACAAATTCCCGATTCTTCACAACTACGTCGAAGCAGGGTCCAGAAGTGCAAGTTTATTTCCATCGATTTACCTCACGGGAAGCCTTCCTGGGACCCGCCTCTGCCGTGGGTGTTCTTCCAGCTCCCCCTAGCGCAGCATTTACCAAACAGTGGAACTGGGAGCTAACCCCAGTCAGGGAGTCCGTGGCCTTCCAACACTCAGCCTGGAGGAGCGCTTTCTTGAACACGGATAAATGAAGAAGGAAGGAGGGGAAAGGATCAAGCTGACTTCCTGCCAGGACCGCCCAGCCGGAGGCACCCGCAGCAACAGGAGCCCAGGTTTCCTGTCCGTTGGGTTCTAGAAACGCAGAAGCGAAGGGTGAAGCCCTCCGCTGGCTAAGCCAGTGTGTGGTGCTGGATCTGATGGGTCCCTGGGTCTTGGCAGCCCTAGTAGAAGGGCGAGCAGCAACTGGGATGAAGAGGCCATGTGTCCTGCACCTGTGAGTGCTTGCACTTAAACTAATGTGTAGCCATACCCACTCCCACCCCGCAAGCTGGAGGTTCTCCCGGGTCTTAAGGAAGCCAGGCCTTGACAGACTTGTTCATGGTTCATGGTGCCAGGTGACTTAGTGACTACACTCACATGCAGTGGTACCTAGCTTCTGGGACTCTAAGTCAATGGCAGCTTCCCGTGGTTCCTGCTTCCAGTCCGACTTAGATGCTCTGTGGACCAGGCCCCCTGAGGGGAGGGCACAGCTACAGATTCAGTTTTAGTTGAGGGCTACATCTACTTGTTCTCCTGCAAAAGGCTGGGAAGTCCCCTGATAAGCCCTTACCGTAGGCAGACCCAGTGCATCTCTAAGGTGCATGGGACCAATTGAGCAGCCTCAAATTTCACCCTGACCTCAGGCCCTCTGGGAGGTCATCACCTCCTAGTAACTGGCCACTAGGAGAGGCCTTGCAGTTCCCTGTCTTCAGGAGAAGGTGGAGACTTAATGAACCCAGGTCCCTAAACAAACAGCAAACCTTGTTTCTGAACTGTGTCAGGAGAGACTTAGCACATACATAGTAACCCTTTGGTTCGCTTAAGACAAGAGTGACAAGTAGGGTCAGCCAACTGCTAATCCCCAGCCCTGCTATCGTTATGACAGACTCTTCCAGAATATTGTCACAGAGACTAAGTTATTGGGATGGTTGCTGGAGAAGAGGCGAAACCCAGCACCAAGAAATGTCAGAGGCTGAAACTGACAAGGAAGACACCTTGCATGTTTCCTTTTCTAGAAGGGACCTGCTTACTCCCCCTAAAATTGAGGTTGGGCCCTGGTTCCCACCAGTCCTCTCTCCAGAATGCCCTGGGCAGAGCCAGACGGCAGGCAGAGTGACCACTTGAGAATGTTAGAAACACAAACTGACAGACCAAGATTCCCGAAACTCCACCGACAGCTCATTGGAAGCAGGGAGGGAAGCGCTCTAGCATCCTACAGCCAGTGTTCTGGTCGCTCCCTTGTGGTTTTCTTCTGTAAAAAACTGGAATAATAACCACTCCCGGTAACAGGGCCATTTGTCCCCATAACCTTTGCATCTACACAATGCCTGGTTCACTGCAGCGACTCATTGTTTGCTCTGTGCATGAATCAAGATATTCCCACAAAACACTGGAGTCTTATGTTCAGAACATCTCTTAGAAGGCCCACGCATGTGCTACTGGAACGAGATATTTTATTAATCAGATGGATTAGCCAGAAGAAAGTAACACCCCCTCCCCTCCATCACTGAGCTGGTTCCGCTGCAGAGGACCTGGAGTCTCGGAGTAATGGGTTCCTCATTCAAGAGTGCATGATTTTCTGCCCCTTCATTCTCCTTACTTGTCTTAAAAAACTAGAGGCTCTGGAGAGATGGCTCAGTAGTAAGAGTTCTTTTTCCAGAGGACCTAGGTTTGATTTCCAGCACCCACATGAAAGTTAAAACTGTAACTCCAGTCCCAAGGGATCCGACACCCTCCTCTGGCCTCTGTGAGCACTGGGTACTCATGTGGTACACAGATAGGCATGCAGGCAAAACATCCAGATACATAATACAGATAGATGAGGTGGGGGGTGTTCTCTGTGTAGCCCGGAGACCCACCTGCCTTTGCCTCCTAAGTGCTAGGATTAAAGGCATATGCCACCTCACCTGGCACACACACATACATACACACACATGTATACATACACACACACACACACACACACACACACACACACATATATATATATATATATATATATATATATTTGAGAAATTGCACCTGACCTGATAGAGGTGGGGTGGTGAGCAGTAATTTTGCTTCAGCCTCTGGAGTGGAGGATAGAGATAAATTAGAAACCCCCCCACACCCCTACTTTGCTCATCCCCTTTCTAGTCTTCCCCTGTCCTATATTTTGTGCCCCAAGGTTGTCACCCTCCAGGAAAGACTGCCCTCACACATACTGAGTCCAGAGGGCCAGGCACAGAGAGAGGACTCATGCACCTCAGGATGTAGTTTCCCCAGGATATGGGAGGACCACCCCATTGAGATGCCTCAAGGAAGCAGGTTGAAAGCTGGGTGTGGTGCTCCATGCCGGTGATCCCGGCCCTCAGAAGGTTGAGTCAAGATGGGGGTGGGGTGGCACAGGACTTTAATCCCAGCACTCAGGTGGCAAAAGCAGACCAACCTGGTCTACACAGTGAGTTCCAGTACAGCCTGGACTACAGGATGTGACTTTATATCAAGAAATGCAAGGGAAGAGAAGTAGGAAGGCAGGGAGGGAGAAACTTAACACACAGGAATAGAAATCAGGGGCCTAGCCCGGACTCCCTAGCCACGGCTTTGAGCCAGTACTCTAGACAGCATTATGGTTGGAGGCTTCTAACTCTCAGTTCATCCATTGTACTTACCCATCAGACAGGCATGGCAAAGAACAATTTATGTTATTATTGTTGTAAAAATGGTTTTATGTAGCCCAGGCTGGCCAACTTATAGCTTGAACACCAACAAAGAGCAGTTGTTTGGTTCCTGCTACAATGAAGCTAAGACTTGGTAAGTACATTGATATAAGAAGATAAAGAATTGTTCTGGGTTTTCTCTCAGCCCACTTATATCCCAGCATTGCCCGCATACTGCCTGGCATACAGGTACCCAGTAGCAAGTTTTCTCCTCCCTCTTCTCTTCTGTCAGGTTCCCAGTTTACCCTCTGAGGACAGCACCTCTGAATTCCCTGCTACAACCTGGCAATAGCTCTGGGCCTTACAGCTCAAACATCCAGACCCCTACCTGCCCCAGAAAACATGTCTGTGTCCATGCTACTTCTTGACAACATCAAAGGGCAAGAGCTTAAACTTGTGTTTTCTTGTTTCTTGTGCTTTCATTCCCTAAACACACACACTTTTTCTTCCATTGTCAGTCCCTCCCCTGGGATCTTTTTTTCTTGGCCAAAGGTTCTCATTCTCCCTCTGAACACTAATCTCCCCTTCTCTTGGCCCATTTTAAATTCTGTCTGAAGGAAGAAAAGGGAAGACACATACATACTCCACACTCCTGGAGAATTGGGCAATTCTGCAGATGCACCAGCAATCCCAAAGAGGGTACCCCCAACCTTCTGGCATTTAGGGGAACACAGAAAAGTCTGGCTTCTGCTCACAGGAGCCTTGCAGCTCAGCTGGCCGCCAGCATAAAAGGCCACAGACCTGGCCAGAGAAGACAGGGTTTTGCAGTGTCTGAACGTCTGTGTCCGCGCTCTCTTCCCACTTGTGCAGCCCCAGCTCTAGGCCAGGTGAGGTTTTCTTCGATGAGGAGCGTGTCTAAATTTCCACCTGCGCCTGAGAGACTCGTAGAGCATCATACCGTTTTTCCTTTCTTTCGTGCTGGGCACGGAATCCAGCACTTGCCACACGCTAGGCAAGTGTTCTACCACTGAGCTACGCACCCAACCCCATCTCTAAATTTTACTCTCCCAGCGACCCTAAAAAGTTGACAGCTGCCGTATCCAGGCGAATCAGCAGTTCGGAGAGGCGAAAGGACTCTTTTGAAGTTACGAAGCTCCAAAGGAAGGGGGGGGGGGGAAGAGGAGAAATTTAGCATTTCCAGCTGGGGTGGGGGTTGGAAAGGGTGGGGGAAATGCAGGCCAGGAGAAGCTGGGATACTTGGAGTCGGGCTCCACCTCTTGACCTTGTTCTCTTCCCGCAGGGAAGTGGGGAGCTTCGAGGGGCAAGGAGCAGTCTCAGCTCGACCCTGGGCACAGAATCTCCAGTTGGGTGCCTGCCTTGAGGTTTGGCCTCCTTGAACGCCTGATGGCCTTGAACTCTAGATTAAGGGGCCCAAGCCAGAGAAAAGCCCCAGAGACTCAGAAGCCTTTGACCAGGAAGACAGAAACACGGAAAAAAGTACGAGGAAGCGTGTGAAGGAGCAGGCGCAGCTCCTTCCTGTGCAGGTCAAGACCCTTGGATTGCATTGAAGGAATCCTTCAAAAGCCAGGGAGGGCACAAAGTTCAGAGGCGGAGCAATCCATCCCGCCTCCTCGAGGGCAGGTGGAGAAAGACAGTGGAAGTCTGGCCCGAACCTTCCCTGCGACTTTAGGGGAACCGCACGCCTTCTGCGGCTGCAAGGACCGCAGGAGGCCCGCGCTTTCTCAGAAAGTGAAAGGAGTGGGCGGGGGGCGCGGCCGGGGCGGGGCCGGGCGGGCGTTGCCGAGGCTCCGCCCCGGGGCAGTCCCAAGCCCCGGGCGCTGAGCGTCTCCAGTCCCCGCCGCGCCGCGGGCTGGTGGGCTCAGCTGCTACTCCAGGTGTCGGGAGATGACCCTGCCCGGGCGCCCGACGGGCATGGCACGGCCACGGGGCGCAGGACCCTGCAGCCCTGGGCTAGAGCGGGCCCCGCGCCGGAGCGTCGGGGAGCTGCGCCTGCTCTTCGAGGCGCGCTGCGCCGCGGTCGCCGCCGCAGCAGCCGCAGGGGAGCCCCGGGCCCGCGGGGCCAAACGGCGTGGGGGACAAGTGCCCAACGGGCTCCCGCGGGCTGCCCCTGCCCCAGTGATCCCGCAGCTCACCGTGACAACCGAGGAGGACGTGGCCCCGGCCAGCCCCGGGCCGCCAGAGCGGGAGGGGGACTGGCTCCCGGCCGCTGGCTCGCACCTGCAGCAACCACGCCGCCTCTCCACCTCGTCCCTCTCCTCCACCGGCTCCTCGTCGTTGCTCGAGGACTCGGAGGACGATCTACTGAGCGACAGCGAGAGCCGGAGCCGCGGCAACGTGCAGCTGGAAGCTAGCGAGGACGTGGGGCAGGTACGGGCCGCGGGGGCGGGGCCAGCGGGGGCTGCGCGCCGGGGACTCGGCTCCCCGCTGTGCTGGGACCGGCTCGCGTCCCCCGCGGAGAGTCCAAGCCTCACTGCTCGGCCGATACTTGGGGGGGGGGGGAGAGGGACCCCAGGACGACCTCTGGCCTTGGCTCATTTTCGGGGGCTAGGCGGGCGATTGTGGTTGAGCGCTTGGGCGTCTAAAGGAGAGTGAGGAATACACGACCCACCGGGAGGGACCAGGCGGGTCCGCGGGCATACCCGGGGATACTGTCAGGGCTGGGGAGATCAGAGCGGGGTAGCCTTGCCCCGGGAGCCCTGGGGGAGAAAGGGGCGCGTGAGCTCTTGCCTCTTTCTCCTCCCCCTCTCGGTGCCGCGGCCCCACCCCCGCCGTTGCCACGGTTTCCCTCTCCTGAGTGGGAGTGGAGCGGAGCTCCTGGCTCTGCTCCGGAGCCGCTGCCGTCTGCTCCCCGCGCGCGCACGAGGCGTGGACGCGGGAAGGGAGGGGCGCGGGACTGGGAGCTCTAGAACCGAGCGGAACCCAGATCCACCTGGTGCGCCCCCCGCCTCCTCCGGGCCTCCTGCTCCTAAGGGTGGTGGTGAAGAAGGTAAACTGAGGCTGACAGGAGACAGGATTTTGCTTGTTAGTCGCTGCCTCTAGTAGTGTGGATGTTCCAGAGCCAGTTTAACCCTCAGCACCAGCTAGTGTGAAGTGAAGTCACGCGTGGTGTGGCCCTCCTTGGAGAGTAGGGCCATCCCTCACTTCCCACCCCTGTGCTGGAGATTGAACCCAGGGTCTCAAACACTCCACCACTGAGTTTACATCCCCAGCCCGCTTTTATTCTGAGACGGTCTCACTAAATTGCCAAGTTAGATTGGGACACAGCAGGTAGCCCATTCAAGCCTCGAACTTGCTGTTGTCCTGCTTCGGTAATCGCCCTCATTTTAGCGGTGGCCAGATGCTTAAATTAACTGCTCGTGGACTGTGCACCGTTACTCTAGATGCACTTTACCCAAGCGTTCCTCGAGTGGCGGAAGAGACCGGGAACAGCCCGCTCTGCTTCAGTACCCTCCAGCCCTGTCCCGGCGACTTCAAGTGAGAGTAAGACGCGCGCCTGCGTTGCCTAGACACCTTGAGAAAAGCGCTAAGGTGTGGCCTGGGCCTCCTGAACCTGGCATCCCCACACACTGGGATCGGACCAAGGGAGGGAGGCTGTGTAACGACTCGAAGTACAGCTGTGACTCAGAGACTTACAATACCCAGAGAGAGGGGTGACATACAAGAGAAAGGGGGGAGCTCACAGCAAGGCTGTTGTCTCTCCAGATTCCTGTAGTCAGGTGTAGGTGCGGGGGCTCAGTCACGAGTCCGCTGCGCCCCTCGCCCTGACCTGCCAGCGTACCCTCGGCGGGGTGGGCGTTCTTGAGGGGACTCTAGCCGGGGTACTGAGGCGAATGCGAGCGGTGGGAGGACCTCTGAAGAGCCTGAGCCGTGGATCGGCCACTCCCCTGCTCAAATCTCTGACACCTGAGAGGCGGGCCCCAGGGAAGGGCGCGACCGGTGAGCTGGGAGGACCCGGACTGGGACGCAGGCACACCTGCTTTCCTGTTCCGCCGAGGACCCGTCTAAGTACTCAGGGAGAGGCTGAGCGGAGGAGGACCCGAAGTCCAAATCTGGGTGCAGTGTAGGTAGCCCCAGCAGGGGTCAGGACGTCGAGAACAAGCGGAAGTTAGCCATCCCTGGCGAGTCTTCCTCGTCCTTTCCCACCCTTGGTGTCTCCGGGAGCCTCCGGGAGCAGCTCCAGATGGCCTGGCAGGGCCTTTTCAAACTCCCAGGCTGTGTCTTCCAGGCCTTCCCAACCCCCAGCCCGCCGGGGCCTCCCCGAAGGCAAACAGCACCGGAGCTGCAGATAAGCCTGGAGCTGTTGACAGAGGCTGCCTGCGTCTGCGTGGAAGGGCCGGGAGCGGACTTTGCCTCACAGCAGGCTCCACAGCGTGCCAGCCCAGGCTGCCCTTAAGGGCTTTCCCAGGCGGGTCCCCCTGACCGTTAAGGATGCACCTGGGGAAAGATATGGCGGCCTCACTCTGGGCTGCCATCTAGCCATGTCTCACACCCAACTCGAGGCCCTGGAAGGATCTGCCTCCCTCAGCCAGGCTCTCTGACCTTCCCTTCTACTTCCCAGAGCTTGTCTAGCCTGCTCAGATAGGGCATGTAGGACTGGGCAGCTTCGCTCCCTCCAGTGGCCTTTTATCTGATGGAAGGAGAAGTCAGGAACAGGAAAACTGACTTCTCCAGGAGAGAAGCTGGAGATGCCGTGACTCCGAGGCCTTGGCTGTCTCCTCAGACAATCGTGGGGGTGACCCCAAGCAGAGGAGAGGGCATTTGGCTCTTAGGTGGTTTTATTCTCTCAATAATACTCAGGCTAGGTAAGGAGGCCTGGATGCTGTCCCCTCCTGGACTCAGAACCCCCACACATCATTTCCCACTAATTATAGAGTGGAATTTAGGTTAACAGACTTCCTTTTTAAAAAGCAAATGCCCATGGGAAGGTGAAGTCGCGGGTCACTTATACCTTAGTGTAAATCATTTTGTAAATTTAAATTGATTGCTCTCCCCACCATCACCACAGGGAGTGCTAGTTTGATAGGACAATTGGAACATGAGGAGGGGGTGGGGCTGGCAGGAGTTTCAACCAGGATTGGCGACTGTAGAGCAATGGTTCTCAACCTTCCTGATGCTTTGATCCTTCACTCCTTCCTGTGGTGGTGACCCCGGCCATAAAATGATTTCCATTGCCACTTCATAACTCGAACCTTGCTACCATTATGAACTGTAACGTAAATATCTGTTTTCCAATTGTCTTGGGCAACCTCTGTGAAAGGTTCGTTCCTCCCCCAAAGGGGTCGGGACCCACAGGTTTCGACTCTCTGTTATAGAAGCAGGGAGCTGGACGGAAGCTAAAGACAGAGTGAAGGATGTAGTCTGGCAGGAAATAGGCGATCTGGGTTGATGGGAGGAGCAGACATCCCCAAGGCTTCTAAACAGAGCCTAGCCAAGGGAGGGTCTAAGGGTAGGACACAGCAAGTCCCTGCCTATAGAGAAACACTTTCTGCTCATCTATGGGGGTGAGAAATTATCAGAGGGCCCTCCTGTGTCGTCGGGGAGTCCTGGACACAAAACTATCTGGCCTTTGCACCAAATGTCCAGGTGGCCTACGGCTGTGGCTGTGTGTTGGTTGGTAGAAGCAGCCTCTGCGTGGAGGGAGGGCTGGGATCTATCTTCCCTGCTGTTGTTTATCAGCCAAAACCCCCACTCACCCACCAACCCGAGAACGGTTCTCTAGCAGGCTCTCTGGATACATTTGTTTGTGAGTGCGTTATCCTGCAGAAGGAATCGTTCTTAAGAGGGAAGACGGCAGTGAGCTGGTTTCCAGGGCACTTACCTCAACTGGTTCCATGGTTCACCATATCCGGTGTCTGCTGGGGTCTGAGCTGAGATAATGGGCCTGGGAGGCCTTTGCTACCTGCAGAGTTAGCATCTGCTTGCTGTTTGCTTATGTGAGACCCACAAAACCAAGGCAGGGAAGAGACAAGCTGATACTGTTACCGTACATTAACCCATCAGCCAAGTGGTAGTATATACATTTTTAAAAGATCCATCTTAAATGTTTCTCGGACTGGCCTCAAACTTCTAGGTTCACGCCATCTTGCGTTTTCAGTCTCCCAGGTAGCCAGGACCACAGACATATGCCACCATGTCCAATCTACCCATTTCTACCAGGCCCCTCTCCACCTGCAAACCCCTTCACTGAAACCACAGGACCCCAAAGGAAGGGTGGTGCAGTTTCCCCACACAGCCTGGCTGGTCCTAGATCTCACTCTGTAGACCAAAAACCCCTTCACTGAAACCACAGGACCCCAAAGGAAGGGTGGTGCAGTTTCCCCACACAGCCTGGCTGGTCCTAGATCTCACTCTGTAGACCAAGCTAGCCTTGAACTCAAAGATCCACCTCCCTTTGCCTCCAGATTAAAGGTGTGCACCACCACCGCCCGGCTTCCCCCAGAGTTTTGTTAGGCATCTCAAACCACCCGAGCCTTTCGCCATCCTTAAACTCATTCTTTGGATGAAGGCGGTAGCGGGAGGCCCTCAGATCCATCCAAACCTTCACGACACCCTGTAACTGTTTCATCGTGTGAGAGTGTCCTGTCACGTGTATCCCATTTGACCCCCAGAAGGAAACTGCTAGAATGATTGGACCATGGTGAGGAAGCTGGGTTGAGGAAGCAGGTCATGAGGATGCTGACTTCTCTGAGGACTGATTTCCGCGTGTAATGGTGCTAATAGCTGCTCAGATTCATGCTGTGTGTGGGCATCGTGATCATGATTCCCAAGTTGGGTGTGAAAGAAGAGTTTTAGGGTGCTTCTGCTAAATACGCATGCTACATACATCACCTTCCTGGAATTTTACTTGAGGATTCGGGAGGAAGGGAGTTTTATAATAAAACTTGGATCTATTATGCAGCAAAATGCAAACCTTGTATGTATTTAAAGATTTATAAAAGAGGTTTTGAAAGATGTCATGATTTTAGTGGGCTGCTTCTGGCTACGCCCCCAGATCCCTGGGGATTGGACATGTGATCACGCCCTAGCGTGCCTTGTTGGGAAAGGGAGAGCAGTGAAGGCTGTGGGAGGATGAGAAGGTGCCTGGTGTGCAGTAGGCAGTCAGTAAATGGCTCGTGTTAGGGCAGCCGCTACATCCTCCCGGAGGAAACAGACCCACACGGATGGCAGCGCTGCTTGAACACACTGAGCAAAGCCAGGACTGGAAGCGGCTGCTCGCTCCCAACCCAGTGCTCTGCCACCACGCCCACCTCTTCCTCGGCAGTAAACTACCTCCTCGTTTCTGAGCACCCCCCCCCCTTTGGCAGGGAGGCTGGTTCCTGGGTTCTCGTGATTCCTGTATAAGGCAAGCATCTGTGGGACAAGGCTTCAGACAAGACACATCCATGAGCAAATCCCTGCCCATCAAACAGCAGATGCAGGACTGCTGAGCTTGGGATAGGATGTGGAAAGGGCCAGGGTGTGTGGTGCTTTCCGGATTGAGCAGAAGCCCGAGTAATGGCCTTGAGGCCAGAGACAGCACACCTGCAAATACCTACACACACCTGCAGTTTTATCTAAGAGGAGAGCCCTTCAGCTTTGCATTTCATTTTCAGGCCTTAGGGTTTTCCATCCAGATCACAACCAAGGATGACTTGAGCTTTTGACTTTCTCAGCTAGTAAGAAGTGCATGGGATTCCGGGGCAGCTAGGTGGTCTTAGGGAGCCCCGAGGTCTTTCATAAACCTTGGCAGGCTGTCCTCTCTTCCCTGGTCCTATGTAAAGGGTTGATTGTGATTGGTCGGCCTCCCTAAATGAGAGAATTAGGTCCCAAGTGAGTAAATTCAGTATCTAAATTTGGCCCAATTCTCTCCATGCTGAGGAATCAGATAAGGAGGGTCAAACTCAAGCCTCACTGGTTACAACAGTTCAGAAAGAGTAATTGTCTCCCCATTCCACAGATAGGAAAAAACCCAATACACAGAAGCATTTTTCTCGGGCCTCCTGAGGTCTTGGTAGAAATGCAGATGTTTAGTTCCAACCCTGGCTGACTCAGGATGTCCCTATGGGAGACCTCAGACTCAGCATCAAGGGTGGCCTTCAAGTGGTTCTGATAGCCACAAAGTTCAGAAACCTTACAGAAGAATTAAGTAACCTGCCCACTCAGTGGCAGAGCTGTGTTCAGCCCTAAGTCTTCTGCTGCTAAATCTCGGGCTCCTTTCAGACTTTTTGAGAAGCTAGAATGACCTTCCCCCTGCCCGTCTCAGTACCTGCCACACTGGCTCACAACACATTTTCTTTGGGTAGGTGGCTGAGTGAGTGAGTGAGTAGTTGAGGCTTGAATGCGGCTAGTGGGGTAGTCAGGTTGGACTCCTGCACTAGCGGGGGAGGCTTACACGGTAGAGAGATGCTGACCTACCTGCGCTTGTTGCTTTCAGAAAAGCCACTGGCAGAAGATCCGTACCATGGTCAACCTGCCTGTCATGAGTCCTTTCAAAAAGCGCTACTCTTGGGTGCAGTTAGCGGGGCACACAGGTGAGCGTCAGTGCGGGCGGGTGAGGTTATTGTGACAGGAAGGAGCTGGGCAGTTCTAACTGGAGCCCTTCTACAGGGAGTTTCAAAGCTGCGGGCACCAGCGGCCTGATATTGAAGCGCAGCTCGGAGCCAGAACACTACTGCCTGGTGCGGCTGATGGCCGATGTGCTGCGCGGCTGTGTTCCCGCCTTCCATGGTGTAGTGGAGCGGGACGGTGAAAGCTACTTGCAGTTACAGGACCTGCTGGATGGCTTTGATGGCCCTTGCGTGCTTGACTGCAAGATGGGTGTCAGGTTTGTGTCCCCTCTCTTGGTAAGGCAGAATCAGTGAGGGAACCAAGGAACTGGGCTAAAAGCTCACATGGGGGTCCTTCATGCTCTGGCCCCGACCTGCACCTCACAGAACTTACCTGGAGGAGGAGCTGACCAAAGCACGCGAGAGGCCCAAGCTGCGGAAGGACATGTACAAGAAGATGCTGGCGGTGGACCCTGAGGCACCTACTGAGGAAGAGCATGCGCAGCGCGCTGTCACCAAACCGCGCTACATGCAATGGCGCGAAGGCATCAGCTCCAGCACCACGCTCGGCTTCCGCATCGAGGGCATCAAGGTGGGTCAAGCTTCCTTGGCTTTGCAAGGCTTTTCTGACCTCTTGCCTCAACTGCCACCAGGAGACGCCCTCTGGTCGCCATCTCTTGGTCCCCAGAGGTTAAAGCCCCAGGGAGGTACCACTGCCCTTTGCATGATCCTCTCTCCCCTCAGATGGGTCCGGGTCCCTGATACTCCTTGCCCACCTCCTTCAGAAAGCCGACGGATCTTGCAGCACTGATTTCAAAACTACACGAAGCCGAGAGCAGGTGACTCGTGTCTTTGAGGAGTTCATGCAAGGAGATGCCGAAGTGCTGGTGAGAGGAGGTCCTAGAACCCTGAGGTTTGGGCACACCTGTTTACAAGAGTGCCTCGTGGCCATTCTTTCTAACGTCCTTACCTATGCCACCCCCAGGGGTCGCACTTCCCTCGTTGTACCCTAATTGTTTGACCTCTGCTCCTGGGGTGGGTGGTGTCTCCCTCCCCACAGCGTTTGTCAAACTGAAGTGCACCTCAATGTCAGTAGAGCCTCCCTTGGCGCGAGATTAATTTGTCCACACTAACCCTTCCAGAGGAGGTATCTGAACCGCCTGCAACAGATCCGGGACACCCTGGAGATCTCAGATTTCTTTCGAAGGCATGAGGTAAGAGGTGGATGGGCTGGGGACTGTGGGGACTGGCTTTGTGCTTTGTGAAAGAGAGAACGGGAAGGGGGGGGTCTCTGGGAGAAGCAGGTGGCCTGACTGCCATGGGGGGGGGCCGGCAGGTGATTGGCAGCTCACTCCTCTTCGTGCATGACCACTGTCATCGTGCTGGCGTATGGCTCATCGATTTTGGCAAGACCACACCCCTCCCCGACGGCCAGATCCTGGATCATCGGAGACCCTGGGAGGAGGGCAACCGTGAGGACGGCTATTTGCTGGGGCTGGACAATCTCATTGGCATCTTGGCCAGCATGGCTGAGAGATGAGGCTGGGCCCATGTCCCCACCCGCCACTTGGGCCGGCTGGTCAGACAGATGTGGACAGGTGGCTGCATCCCCACCATGCATGCCAGCAACAGACTGGAACCCCGCTGGGCGGGCAGTTCACATGGTCCTGCAGGACCAGGTGCCATCCACTAAGGGGGTATACTACCAATACCAGGAGTTGGCCTCCACACAGGCCTGTGTCCCCGAGCCGAGTGACACTGGTTTACAGGAGGGGAAGGAAACAATGGGCTTCTCCCTCAGTCCAGCTCAAGTGGCGTTGCACCTCCCTAGAGGGGCCAGACCCAGAATTTTATTTCACAGGTGTACAGACTTACTGGTTTACCCTCCTATGCTACAGTGGGCACCCTTCCTAATAAAACTCAAAGACACAGCTTCTGTGACTCAGGCCTCATCCCCTTCACCTCTGGTCCTCTCTTCCTTAGTTTCAGACTCAAGTCCACTCAGAACTGAAGAATGAGAAGGGGTTGTTGTTGTTTTGTTTTTTAATTAGTATTAGAAACATTTGTAGTTAGCATGCAGGGATGGGCCAGATGAAAGATACTTATGGGAAGAGCACAGTTTGGGATCCCCAACTGAGTTCTGCAATGGGCCTGTGGGTGGGTGGCCTCTGGTTCCAAAGACTGAGAGTGGCCAGGCCCTTCCCTAAGAGGGTTTGGACTGGTTTCCAGTGTGGAAAGATCAGGCCCCCAGGACAGCCCGGAAACATGCCTGAACACACAGCGCAAACTGTAGGGGGCAGAGGCTACTGGTCTAACAAGTCATCTAGGTGCCTGGAAAGGAATGCAAGAAGGAGCCATTGCTGAAGTCAACACCTAAATCTTCACCCTTGGGGCCCCTTGGGGTCCAAGAGCCATAGGCGGGGTTCCAAAGGTTCTGAGGTCGGAGGCATCTGGATTTGAGGGCCTTGAGGCCAGAGGGCAGCCATGTGCCAAGGAGGCCTCCTCCCCAGCTTTTCAAGTTCTCTGAACTCAGCTGCAGAGCCTGTGGGGATCTAAGACCCTCCAACGACCTGTTCCCCAGGCCAGAGGCCCCTTCCTCCTCTAGAATGGGCCCTGGTTCCACCGGCAGGGGAGAATTCAGCACATCAGGGTCCTATAATGGGAGAGTCGGGGAACAGGCTTTCTTCCGGTCCTACAGAACCAGGATAGTTAGCGGGGATCAAAAGGACACGCGGGAGTGGGGGTGGAGCAGAGGCACACCTGAGTGCAGTATTGAAGGCGCTCCAAGATGCTGGCGAAGTCAGGACGGAGCTCAGGTTGGTGCTGCCAGCACTGGGTCATGATTCTGTACCTAGGGAGGGGCAGGAGTTCATGCCTCCCAAAGCCTTGAGGGACCTCCCTCCCTCGGTAGCGTTGTTAACTCACACTGGCCCAGGGCAGTTCCTAGGAGGGTCCATCCGGTTCCCCGTGACAATGAAGTCTAGGACCTCCTGGTTGGTGTGCCCAGGATAGGGCATATAACCCAGTGAGAAGATCTCCCAGAGCAGGACCCCAAAAGACCTGCGCCACAGGTGGGAGGAACAAACGAGACCCATCAATTACAGCCTCCTCTTGAGGTGGCCCAAAAGGGTAGGATTAGCCTCAGGACAAAGGAGGGGGTCCCGGGGGAGCCATGCTGTCACCAGGAGTCTGTCTTGGATGTGAAAATGCCCTCCAAGAGAGCTTCTGGGGGCATCCATTTGACAGGGAGCAAGGCCCGGCGCCCCTTGCGGTAATAACTGGCCCTGTAGGAAGGAGAGAGAATGTGATGTTTTTCAAATGCTGTCCGGTGAGTCTCCTTGGCGCAGCAGCATTCCCACCTCCCCAGTTCCTGCTCACCGGTAGATATCTCTTGCCATCCCAAAGTCTCCGATCTTAGCCACTCTGCTGGGTCCAGTGCAGCTCAGTAGACAGTTCCGGGCGGCAATGTCTCTGTAGAACAGACAACATAATCACTGTGAGAACACAGTTGCTCTGGCTCTTCCTGATCTGTTTCTTTAAAAGTTGTCTATGGGGGACCTTCTTTGAGGGGACAAGTGGGGCTGAGGGCCTCCTGAGTCAGGATTGCTTCCAACCTGTGGATGAAGTGGTTTTCTTCCAGGTAGTGGCAGCCCCGGGCTATATCCTGGGCCAGCTGCAACAGATCCTGCATGGCCAGAGGTGATGGCTGGCCCTGGATTGGGCAGAAGGTACCTAAATTGATCCTGGCCTTAGGACAAATGGCCAGGGTCTTGGACGGGTCTTACCGGGTGTGCTCTGCTGTGTCTCAGAAAACTCTTCACGTCCCCGCCCGACATCAGCTCCAGCAGAATGAGGCGAGGGGCAGCCTGGAAGCTGAGCCCCACACAGCGAACGATGTTCTGATGGCTGAACTTGCTGGGTGGGAGTGGTGCACATACCCCATCACCAGTGGGGAGATGCTCTAGACCCCCTTAAACTACAGAAGACCTCCGTGCCCTAGAATGCTGCCTCTCTGCCCTAAAGAGAGGAGGGGCCATCCCTGCAGGCAGGTCCTGCCTCCCACCACACCCTCCTGCCTGCCCTCAGGGGCACCTGATGATGAGAGCCTCCATGAGAAAGTCCAGCTCGTCCTGTCGGGAGCAGAGCTCTGGCAGTGTCTGGGAAGGAAGAACACCCAGCTTTGGCGGGGTGCTTTAGGAGGGTGGTAAGCAAAGGCTGTCCTCCAGTCTGTCCCTCCATGGTGTCCACCCCAACTGGAGACCCTACCCCTTCTCACCTTGATAGCCACCTGCAGAGGGCTGGAGTCCCCAGGAAGGCCAATGACTAGTCCCTCATACACCTCCCCAAAGGCACCATGGCCAAGGGCTCTACAAGAAAATAAGTTGGAAGGGGCAGAAGAGGGTAGGCGGGACCTGAGTCGGTGCTAATGGGGTAAGGCCTCTCCTTGTACCAGTGCAGCTCCTCCTGGGAAAAGGCAACCTGTGGGTTCCAGACAGTCATGTTCCCGGGTCTCTGCACCCCAGAACTGGGGCAAAAGCTGACCCTCTCACATGTTACTTTGCTTATTGGATTAGGGATGTGCGTTGTGTGCTCAGTGGGGTTGGTTCATAATGCACCATGACAGGAGGAAGGACAGGGAAGGAAGGGGGTTCAGGGAGCAGAGAGAGGACTCACCTGAGAAGAGTGACATTGCCTGGGGAAACTTCCGTTAGCCCTGGGGGCAGAGGCCAGGGCTGGGCAGGGCTGAGCCCCACCTGACAGTAATAGGGGTTGGGAGCTGTCCTGATGGCAGAGGTGCGGAGCTTGCTCAGCTCCAGCTCAGGGCCCGGCAGCCTGTGCCCCCACAGGTTCTGCCACTTCCTCTGGCTCACTAGGGGTGAGAAGGACAGAAGGACATTCTCTGCCTGCACCCATTAGGCCCACTCTGCCTCCCCGTACCCAGAACACCTTTCTAAAAGTCCTTTCAAATACACATTTTCCCCATGACTCCCCAGCTTCTACTCCAAGTCTAGGGGAATCTACCATTGTTTTGTGGGAGTAAGGCCCTGAAGTCAGCTACACTTGCCCTGGAACCACAAAGATCATCACAGCCTAGTAGAGGAGGGCCAGCCTGCAGCAGCCATGCCTGCGAGATGTGCCTACCTAGAATGAGGACTCCACCCATCAGAAGGAGACTCAGTGTCAAGGCTGCCACCAGAGCTCCCATCAGAATCAGAGGGCTTGCAGTGGATGGCAGATCTAGGGAGAAAAATGTCATCTCCAGCAGGCAGCAGGAGGCTCCACTGACCTCTGCCCTCAAGTATTTTTCTTATTTGTTTTGTGGGGTTTTTGTTGGTTTCTGAGACAGGGTCTCCCAGTGTGGTGCAGGATAGCCTCACAGTCTCCTGCTTCAGTCTACCCACTGCGGGGATTACAGACGTGTGCTACCTTATCTGGGTACCCTTAAATCTCACCCCTGCTTCGAGACTCAGCTCAGTGTTTACTCCTCCATGATGCCACCCACCTAGACACAAGCAACTCTCCCTCCTGAGAATCCCTTAACTATTTGATACCTTCTATAGCAACTGCCACTTTTAGATACAGATCTATATCTAAATATCCATCTTGCCTCCCACACACTGGCCTACATGTCCTTGACAGTGGAGTGTGCCCTGATGCGTTTCCAATCCTCTACCTGGAACTCCATAGAGTGCCTGGCACACAACAGGCCTTTACACTGTCTTTCCCAGTGCCCTGCTCCTACCAGCCTGTGTGTGACCCAGCAGTCAGACTGAGGGCAAAGACAAGACGTACCCATGCAAGTGACATTATCGGCAGCCAGCTCCATGCCCTCTGGGCATATGCATTCAGTCACCTGGAGCTCTGCCTGCCACTGGCAGTCTTTGGAAGTGCAGTGACTGCAGTTGGGGTGCTTTCGGATTTCCACCTCTCCATGGCCCTCTGTGACTGTGGGAAAGGTGAGATATGGCGGGGTGGGAGATGGGGATCAGCATGGGCCTGTGCGGACTTTCCAGCCACTGGGTTAATTCTAGCTTAGGAGTTTGGGGTAGCAGCAGTACCAACCACACCCACACAACACACAGGGCGAGGACAGAGCCTAGGGACTTATTTTTTCTTCCATTGATTTTATTCAGAGGCAGAGAGAGGCATGCATGCACATGCTTACGGAAGTCAGAGTTCGGTTTTTTCCTTCCACTGTGGATTTGGAGCAACAAACTCAGATTATCAGGCTGAAGAGGTTTTACCTCTTGAGCCATCTTGGTGGCCCTGCCCAGGGGACCTCAGTCAAGCCTGTATATTACACTTTGTTGAGCCCTGAGGCATCTGGAGAGAATTCACAGCAAGGATACTTGACTAGCAGTCGAAGATACCTGTACTAATGCCACAGCTCACAGATGTTCTCAAATGCCCCTGCGCCATTTAAGAACTGGGAATCTCAGCTCAGCACCTATGGTTGTGGGGCCAGGGATCAAGGGGATGGCTGGCCAGGCTGAGAGACAGGAGGCTGGGGCAAATACCTGCCAAAGGCTGCAGGTAGAGCTCGCTGCTGGGGTGTACAAAGGATACGCCATCTTCCCCATCAGCCCAGAGGATGTCAGACTCCGAAGTGTCACCACCTTGAAATTGAGAGTGATAGTGGTTTAGCTATGAAAAGGGGGAGAGGGTGGAGGAGGAGCACACAGCTGCCTCCCTCGCAGTTGGGAAGCTGGTTTAGGAAGAGCAGGACAGCTATGATCACCTACTGTAAATCCTGTATGGCCTTCTCTATAATGGCATTGCCTTACAGGTACCGAGGGGCTAGAGAAGCGGGGACTGGCTGTTCTGCTGAAACCTAAAGACGGGCATAGCCTGGCTCGGATACCCTTTGTCTGTCTGAGCCTCTCCAGCCCCTCGAACTCACTGAGTTCAACCCACAAACTCCATTTCTGTGTGAACAAAGAGATGTGTCCTAAAGTATTTATGAAGAGTCCAGTCCTGATAGATCAGGGGTTCCACTTCTTTACATCAGTGTCCCCAAACTCTGGACCATTAGGACCAATTAAAAGAGATGCCCAGCACCCTCCTCTGGAGTCATTGATTCTGGAGACTGGCCATGCATTTCTCTTAAAAATAACCAAAGTAATTAATTTTTAATTAAAAAATAAAATTTGTATATTTATTGTACCCTGTATGATACTTTGAGAGATGCATGCATTGTGCAATCACGCCAATCAACATATGTACTGTTGATAGTAAGAACATCTCACATCTACTCTCTTAGCCATTTTGTTATTGAGACTAGGGATGTAGCCTAGTGGTAGATCCCTTCCCTGGCATGCCCATGGCCCTGGGTTTGACCCACAGGCTGGGTTTTATCCCCTACACTGACAGAACCAAAAGCTTTGTTATTAATTGTGGTCTCCATATTGAACTAAAGATAACTTAAATTGACTCATTCTGCCTAATTAAATTCCTTTCTAGCGTTTGACGACGTCTCCCCTGCTTCCAACCCTGCATTTGCATTTCTAACAACTCTTGTGGTGACACCTGGAGAAGTACTGACACCTTCCCAGCTCAGCTTGCTCACACCGGCCCTAAATTCCTTTGATTTTGGCAGAGTAAGGACTGGTTCGGTTTGCAGCTGATTTGGGCTTTTCTTTTTGTTTTTAAGTCAGAGTCTCGCCCTGGGGCCCTCGATGGTCTGGAACTTAAAGAGATCTGCCTGTCTCTGCTTCCCAAGCACAGGGTTCAATGACTAACCAAGCCTGGCTAATTTGGCGGTTTGTAAAAGGCAAAACAAAACCAGCCTGTAGCCCAGCCTCAAACTCTCTGTCCTCAAACTCTGTTGCTCTGTTGTTACTCAGCTAGAAATCCTTCTGCCTCCACTAGGCAGGCGACTGTGGCCACCACGCCCAAGTTTGACCTCCTTTCTAAGAGCACCTACCGTGGCTTGTCACCTTGGAGAGTGGGGCGTTCCCCATCCAGCCAGGTTCAGGCCAGGTTCTTAAGTCTCTACCCTCCCGTCACCAGGACTGCCCGGCTCCCCTCCCCAAGGGAGCACCTACCCCGGTAGCCGCCGCCGCCGCCGCCCGCCGAGCAAGCCCCGCCGCCGCCCCCGAAGCCTCCGGCCGCCGCCCAGCGGAGCGTGGCCCAGGCCTCCGCGCAGCCCTCGCCGCCCTCGGCCCCTTCTTGCAGTGAGCGTCCGGCCTGCGGAGAGGGGGCCCGCGACGTCCAGCCGCCTCCTCCGCCTGCGAAGCGACAGCGGGCAACTAGCAGCGGCGAGCGTGGCGGCCAGCCTCTCCCCTCCGCCCCGCGCGCTCACCTGCTGCGCCCCCTCTCCCGCCGCTCCCAGGCGCCGCCGCGCGGTTCTCCAGTTTCTCCGGGGCCGCCTGAGTCCGACCACGGTCGTGTCGCCTCCAGTAGGCCCTCCCGCCGCCTCCCGCCGCCACCAGCAGCGGCTCCGGTTCCCCCGCGCGCAACTACGGGGCCAGTGGCCGGTCAAGGGCCGTGTCCGTGTACTGGGGGACCCCAGGGAACCCAGACACAGAGAGGAGCCCGGGACTCCAACGCCAGCTAGGGGTCGAGGCGGCCAGCACCCTGTGCACCTACCCGGAAGATGTAGGTGGCACCCCCGCCACCCCCGCCCCCGCCGGCCCAGCGTCTCCAGCCTGGGACCCTTTCGGTCTCATCCGTTGCAGCATGCTCTCCGGTGGCCCAAGACTCTCCCAGACAGACGAGCTGGCTCTCAGGGCTCCCCTGAGTGGCACCAAGGTGGAAATCTGCGTGACCAGGGACCCCCGCCCCCCAATGCTGGTGTCCAGGCATCAAGGACGCCTCCGCCTGCTCTTGGCCCGGGCGTCCCTTAGCCCTCGCCCCGCTTACTCCCGGACAGGCGTCCTCGCCCTGCTGCCCCACAAGGATGTACAACGGCTCCCCGCGACGAAGGAAGAAGAGCGCCGAGAGGAAGATGCCGTGCGCCCGGGACAGGTGGTTTCTGGCGCCTTTGCCGCCGGCGGCTCCGTAGGCGGAGATCCTGCGGGGAGAGGCGCAGGGTTTCGCGCCTCGGTCCTGGGCCAGGCTGCGGCGCGAGGTCGGAAACCCACGGCTGGGAAACTTGCTAAGCGGCTTAGTGTGGTCGGCTGTGAAGGGATGGGGCAGACTGGGTTTGCAGTTAGGTTCCGCGCCTATTTCAGGAGTGGTAATGGGGATGGCGGGAAAGGGTCAAACCGCGCTTGGAGCCACTGCTGATTAGGCAGCCGTCCTGTGGATGGTAACAGGATCCCTGCTCCCCGCTAGCTAACACGGGCCCTGCTGCTACACTTCTATTGAGTGACAATAGGCACTGCTGCGGAATACTTTAAGACTAAAAGTGAGGGTGCTCTGGCTCCTGTTTCCCCGGACTGAAGCACCTTAGCCTAGCAGGTGACTGCCACCCTCGCCCTTGCCAGGCACTTACAGATACTGGCCGGTGTCTGGCGCCCGCCACAGCTGCACGCCTTTCAGCGGCCCGGCAGCTCCCACCGTCACCATCACGCTGCTTCCAGTGTATGCCCCGTCGCACTGTGTTTGTGTGGGCCCCCGCCGGCCGCTGGCGCCACAGGTGTTGAACACCCAAGGCCCCCGCGTGCCTAGGTGCAAGGGAGAAGGAAAGAGTGGAATTCCTGTCCGGGCTTAGGGTTGATGGTGAGCGAAGAAAAGGGAGGAATCGGAAGCTTACCTAGAGGATTTGGATGGGAAGCTGGCTCCACTCTACTAGAGGTGGGGGTGACTTTCTGCCCCTGGGAATTGGAGACCAGCACCAGCAAGGGCGAGGCCGTGAGAAAAGGTGCCTGGAACTCCGGGTTGGAGCAAAGAATAGTTCCTGAAAGGCGGCAGGGAGGAAGCGGCGTTACAAGAAGGTGCAGAATATGGAGAGACGTAAGAGATTGATGGCGACTCAACAGTATCCCGCTTGCAGCCACACCCCTAATGCTACCCAGAGGGCGCACACCAGAACCTGAAGCAGCCTGAGTCCCAAACAGGTAGGCCAGGGCCCTGCAAGGTGTCTGCATATACCAGGTTCTTCATTCCAGAGTTCTTCTCACTGAGTGATTTGGCGGCTGCACCGTGCCCGGCTGTACAGCGCCTCCTCTCCTTTCCTCCATTTAGATTGGTGTCCTTACTCCCAGGTAGTGCCAAGGCCCACCCGATTCTTAGATTTGTAAGCGCTCTGCGCTTCCCTTGCTGCATTCTAGAAGCACAGACCCGAGAGCTCTGGTTCGAGGCCGCCTTAGAAGGAACCAGTGAGACCTGGTCTGTTTCTGACGCAGCCCCAAATCTAAGTGTCTCTGGTTGGTTGGCACCCTGACCACCACAGTACTTACCGGCAGCTCCCAGCCACAGCAGCAGTCTGCAGGAGCAGCCCATCGCCCTATCCGCCCTATCCGTTGGGTCCAGCTAAGGATGTAGTCTCAGAGCCACCCCCACTACTCCGCAGACCTGGAGCTGGCCTGGCTACGCCCAAATTGGGGGGGGGGCAAGAGGAGGAAAAGGCGGGGCATGTGGGCAAGCTTCCGGGAGGAGCCTTGCTGACCTCCCACCCAGAGTCTCAGTCACTAGCCACTGTCTCATCCACAGGCCACCCTAACAATCAGGTAGGAGAAAAAAGTTGGCCGCACTCTGTTCGTCTGAGATAACAGCCTGGATGGCAGCCAGCCACATCCTAGCACTTGGCAGTGGCTTCTGTGGGTTTCAGGATAGGAACAGAGCGAATGGCTTTATTGGTAGCAGTGTTAATGTGTGTGTGAATGCTCACACGTGGGAAGTATGCAGAACCAGGCTGGCCTTCAGAGACCGACCTGCCTCCTGAGTGCTGGGACCAGTGGCATATGCCGCAGTCAGTGCCTTGCAGGAAGTCCTCTCTAAACTGTCCCCAGTGAGGCATTATTGCTTCTGACCACAGGACAGAACATGACTTTCTGGGCTGGTTACCCACAGTTCCACTGTTCTGTGCATAACTTGTTACTGCCATGACTGGACAAGGTGTCTGGGAACTCCAGCTGGGTAGCTCACCCTGCTACTCTAACACCTGCCAGCCAGGTGGAGAGAGTCCAGTGTTCAAGGTGATCCTTTGCTAACAAACTGAATGCCAGCCTGGGCTACAGGAGACTTCCTCTAAGAAAGCCAAACACGATTTAGAGACGTCAGGGGATCCAAGTGCTAGGACCCTAGGCAACACAGCAGCACAGCCACGGTCCACACCTGTCAGTCACACGCTAGGACACTTGAGTCACAAGTACCCAGTAGTTTCCACACTGGGAGGGCCACTGGAATTAAGCCTTCAGGTCATTTTGTGCCTTGTATCTGTGAGGCCCAGTGGTGATAATCTAAGTCTGGGCAGGTCACCCAAAGGAAGTTCTTTACTTCCTCCAACCATTATCACCTGGACTCTGGCCAGGGATGAATTTCAATGGAGGCCGGAGTCTATCTTTTGTTCAAAATGCTAATGTTAAACCAGGCGTGGTGGCTCATGCCTATAATTCCAGCACACAGAAGGCTGAGCAGGGAGGACAGCTATGAGTTCCAGGCCATCCTGAGCTAGTGTAATACTTTCTCTCAAAATAAAACACTCTCTCTCTCTCTCTCTCAAAAAAAAAATCAGGCCGGCGGTGGTGGCGCATGCCTTTAATCCCAGCACTCGGGAGGCAGAGGCAGGCGGATCTCTGTGAGTTCGAGACCAGCCTGGTCTACAAGGACAGGCTCCAAAGCTACAGAGAAACCCTGTCTCGAAAAACAAAAACAAAAACAACAAAAAAACTAACCTCCCTACAAGAATAAATCTCTTGAAAAGGATCTCCTTCATCCATCTGCAAAGGAAAAGAGATAGGGATTACCTGGTACCCAGTGCAAATTTCTTTCTAATTCATGGATGTGAACCACCCAGGATGCTAAAATCCTACCACAGTCATTAGCCCTGCACAAACAGTAGTCTTGTGTGTTGCCTGTTCCCCTGTCCTCTTTGGGACTACAAGGAGGAAAGCAAGGGTTACCGGGGACATTCCTTTGGGAGGAGGCACACTAAGTAAGAGTACCTGGATCAAGATGAGGGAGAACCATCCCAATAAATACTAGATTTAAAAAAAAAAATGGCCGAAGCCTATGTTTTAACACCTGAAAACTGAAGTTACGCCTAGTAGTTAACTAGCCACTTGGTAAATTCTGAGCTGTGCAGTGGTGCCATTTAACAGAGGAGGGCAGATGTAAGCATGAGACCAGCCTGGTCTACAGAGTGAGATCCAGGACAGCCAAGGCTACACAAAGAAACCCTGTCTTAAGATAAATAAATAAATAAACCAACCAAACAAAACAAAAACAAAACCTTGAAAACAAACAAGCGGTGTGATGAGCCACACCCCCAATCCCAGTCCTTTGGAGGTAAAGCCAACCTAAACTGCATATGGAGTTCAGAGTCAACCTGAGCTATATGAGACCCCATATAAAATAAGACACAGGGCCCGTGAGGTGGGGACCAATGAAGAGTATGAAATAAAGCAGGGCAGTGAAAGGGTGCTTGCTGCTAAGCTGATGTCCTGACTCCCTGGGACCCACTTGGTGGAGGAGGACTCACTCTTCTTAGTGGTTCTCTGATCCTCGCCCCCTCAAACACACACACAATGAATAAAATGTAATTTAAAGTTGAAAGGCTGAGGGCAGCGATGCACACTTGTTTAAGAAAATAAGTAAACAAAATGAAATTAGACAATGTATGTTTAGATCTATCCTCCCAGTCATGGTCCTACTAAGGAAAGTCCACTGTGGGGCTGGAGGATGGCTCAGTGGTTAAGTGCACCTGAGTTTGGTTTCCAGTGCCTACAGCAGACCGCTCACCACCACCTATAGCCCCAGCTCCAGGGGTCCGACATTATCTTCCGGCCTCTGTGGCCACCTGCACACGCGCCATTCATACACACAGAGGCATGCACGTAAACTGGCCTACTGGAGTGGCATACGGAAAGTACTACATCAGGCCGACATTGGCTTGGCTGACCCCTGTCCTTCCAGGGGCCTGCAGAGTTCTCCAGGACCCACACCCACTCTGTCACTCTCACAGACTTGCAGGACACATCTTCCCTTCTCCAGATGGAGACTGCATTTACCTCCCACCTCTCTCCTTGAGATAATCCAACATTACAAAACAGTCTGGAACAGCTAGAGTAGAAAAGAATTTATTTCAATGGGTAGTAGAGCAATGACACACCCTGGAGGTGAGGAGAGGGGACTCAGCCTGTTCTGTGCCCTCAGTGGGGTAAACAGCTAAGTCACCCTCCGCTCCTAGCACAGCCCTCAAAGCCCCAGATCCTGAGTTCCAGTATCGGGTGGAATAAGCATTCCTTCCATTTCTAAAAAAGGCTCAAACAATGTGCTCGCAGGAAGGCGAGCCGTGTGTTCCCTTGTCCCCCACTTTCCCTCATGAAATGGTGTTCTTCTGTAAGAGCAGACTTCCAGTGTCAAGGCCCAGGAGAATATATCCATCTCAAGCTGGTGCCAAGTGCCCTACGTCTTTAATCCTCCATTCTGAAGCACCTCTGTGGGCAATGTCTGAAGGTACTGCTGTCTCAGACGAGGCAACTGGGAATACAGCTCAAAGCCCTCTGGGAGGCTGGAGTTGGGAAGCTTGTAGTGGAGGAGATGCTGCCGCAGACCCTGTAGAGAGGGCAAAACCATGAAGTGGGTAGTGAGTCTGTTGAGGTTTGGTTCCTTAAGCCCCTGTATCTTTCATCTTCCCAATACCCACAGTCCTACCTCATCTGCCAGCAGCCACGTTTTCTGCAGCATATTCCTCCGGGAAGCCTTCACCTCATCCTAGGAGCACAAGAGGGAGATGTGGTACCTAGCCGAGGACTGATACCCACCACTGGCCTGGTTAACTCTCATCCCCTTCCCAACTGGACCACCAGCTCCCCTCCCACTCTTTGAATATGGAGATGGGACTTACTGAGCTCTTTGGGTCTTGGGAGAAGATGAAACTATTGACATGAGCCACAGCTACAGTGTAGAGGACAGGGCACCAGTGGGGACGGAGCGCGCCAGTAACCAGGGCCCGGAAATAGAGCCGAAGGAGAGGCAGGCTGTCCTCGGCGGGCTCTGTGAAGCACTCCAAGGGCACAGGCAGCTGTGAGGGAGGGAATGAGCTCTGAGGGCGAGGGTGGAGATGTGTGCAGAGGACAGTGGTGGGTGACTCCCGGCCACAGGAGCCAGAGCAGCAGGTCTTCAGGGGCAAAGACTAGTGCTGGGTAGGGCGGGATAAAGCCCTGGGATACATTTCCAGCACACACAGTATTGATTTCTTAAGCCTATTTAATGATGACAAATGCTTATGATATAGGGCTAAATGAAAAAAATTCTCTATGCAGTAGTTCCTATTTTGTAAAAATATACAAGCATTCAAAAGAGACTAGAAAAAATATAAACAGTTGTTACTGAGCTGGGAGTGGAAGCACATGCTCATCATTCCTGAACACATCTAGAGGATGGGGCCAGCCTGGGGTACAAAGGAAGGCACGAGACAGTCTCTGTTCTCTGTGTGGCTGTTTGTCTTGGAACTCACTCTGTAGATCAGGCTGGCCTCAAACTCAGAGATCTGCCTGCCTCTGCCTCCTGAGTACTGGGATTAAAGGTGTGCGCCACCATATCTGGCTCTAAAACTATTTCATTATTTATTTATTTACTTATTTATTTGGTTTTTGGAGACAGGGTTATCTGTGTAGCAGCCCTGCTATCCTGGAACTCACAGAGACCCTCCTGCCTCTCCTCCCACATGCTGGGTTAAGACGTGCACCACCATGCCCAGCGTGGGCTTCACCACCCGTTAGGACTTTGCCTCTTAGCTTTATTTCCAGCAAGTGCTTCACAGACATTTCCCAAAAGAGTCAAACTCTCCCCAAACTTCCCCACCAGGCCAAACCTCTCTTCCCAATAACACTTCTTCCTTACAGAAAGTCCACTCTGATTGTTCTAAAAATTCTCTGAACTCTGACTTACCTTAAATCTGGGTGATTAAGATCTATGGTTTCGTTTTTTGGTCTTAGCATATCTTTCATCTAGGCTACAAGAGTTTACAAGTGGAAGGGAACCTTGCTAATACCAATGCCTACTCTCTGCCAGATACCATGGTAGAAACCCTCCTATTCTCTACCATCCTGACGCCTTCAAAGCTCCCAAGAGGTAAAATGAGGAACCCCGACACGCCAGAGCCCCGCAGGCTCAGCACGGCGGCCCTTGTAAGGCCGAGGACATATACCTGAGTCAGTGGCAGGCCCAGGGCTCGCAAGACCCCCACGTGCTCCCCAAAGAGGGCGAGGCGCAAGGTGACACTGAACCGACGCTGCAGCGGGAGGAGGACCAGGGCCCCAAACAAGTGGTCCCCAAAAGAGACAGCCTCAAAGTGGTCCAAGAAGCTGGCATAGAGGTCAGGAAACGACGTCAGGCCAGGGAGTGGGCAGTCCAGGTTGAGGTTTGGCAGGACTTGGGGCCGACAGAGCCACGCTAAAAGAGCTACCACCAGATGCTGTACAGGAGTCTCTCGGAATAGCTCGCTATCCACCAGGAACACACACATGAGCCGTGCCAGGCGGGCACCAGGAGGCACAGCCCAGAGGGCCTCAGGGCGCCAGCTCTCCAGAACCAGCACCCACTGTAGGACTCGCATGGCGATGCCTACGGTGTCAGCAGCAGGGATCCCAGAGGGAGCATCTGAAGCCCGATGGTAGAGGCGGATCAATGGCTGGAAGGGCCAGTCAGTGGGCAGCAGGGGCTCCTTAGGTACAGGCAGTAGCAGGCTTGAAACTCGGGGTAACTCTCCGCGGTATAAGGCTTGGGAGGTCAGCAGGCTGGCTCTGGCTGGTGAACAATGGGCCAGGTAGCAGCTGCGGATGCTGGGGAGATCCTGGCAAGCCTGAACTAGGAGAGCCCCTCGTTTACACTGAGGGTCCCCACTGTTCCTTAAAGACAGTCCGTCAGAGAAGTCAGCTGCCTCTGGACCCCCTGACGCATTCTCCCTGTAACAGGACACAAAAGCCAAACCTGAGGGCTGGGACCACAGCATCCAGACGGCTATGCCGCCAGCTCCTGAGGGCTTCCGAGTTCAGTGTGTGCTTTTCTGCCCCAACTGCCTCTCACACCAGTGTTGCATAGCACTTAGGAGATGGGGCAGAGACAAATTTACTTAAACTTCTGTGCTTGATCCCTAGCTGTGTGGGGATTACGATGTGTCCCACCCAGCTCCTACTTGTTTATTTATGGGACAGCCTCATTCTGGTGTTTGGCCCAGTTCCCATTCATTCATTCATTCATTCATCTGCTTTTGAGACAGTCTCTTTCTCATGTAGCCCAGGCTGACCTAGAATTTGACAGGTAGCTAAGGCTGGCCTTGAACTTCTGATTTCCTTGCTACTACCTCCCAAGTGCTGGGACGAGAGGTGCGCATCACCATGCCAGGCCTTCACTCAAATCAGAGCCTCACACATGCCACAGGCCACTGCTAACTACATCCCTGGCTTATGGTACAATTTTTTAGCCACTGTCATACTGTAAAGTCTCATCATTCTTGGGTAGGTTAAAGATGAGTAGCCTCATCTTCACTTCACTAAGGGAATAACAAATTAAGTATAATACGTGAAGGAAAGAGACTAAAACCTAGGTTTTCTGGCTCCAAGATGCTGTTTTGTTAATAAAATTCAGCAGCATCCAAAAATGCCAAACACCAAATGCCTGAAACCCCTGGACTCACGGCAGGAACTCCAGCCGGAACACACAGCTCAGCAACAGCTCTTGGGCGAGGTGTTCACTTCCAGGCAGCAGCCGGCTCAGCAGGGCCAAGGCCATGGTATGGTGGAGGGCAGTACTGGTGGCTGGCTGTGGCTGCAGTGTGGCCTAAGGAAGAAAGATGGTGTTAGTCAGTGCGGGAGGGCGGCAGGGAGAGAACAAAGCAGAGCTGAGTGAGGAGAGGGACAGGGAGATGGAGGACAGAAGCCAGGGAGCGTGGACTGGAGTAGGAGCTGCATGCTCCAGCAGAAATGGCCCAGGCGATGGAGATGTAGGGAGGACAGCAGGGTGGGGGCTGACTCTGCAGACAGGAACCCACCGCTTTTTGGGCTAGCGAGAGCACCAAGTACTGCAGGTGGTACTCATGGCGCAGGGCCCAGGCAGAGAAGGGTGTGAGCTGTGGGGCAGGCACAGGAGCCACACACTGGAGAAAGTAGTTCTGGAGTCCTGGGGCAGTCAGCACAGCAGCCAGCTGAGGAAACACCTTTGTTCAGACCTGGAAACTGACTCTCATGTGTTCCAGGGCTCCCCAGATGGCTGTCCCCTCCCAGCCACTCAGAAAAACAAGGCCACCCTTCTTCTGGCCACCTCTCCCTTTTCCCACCCCAGCTACCTCTGCCCCATGCCTAACCTCTAAACAGGCACCCAAGGTTTACCTGTCCACAAAGCCCCTTGTGGATCCGGACCAGAATGTTGAGGAGAGAGAGGAGGGCAGTGAGGAATGGGAAGGGTGAGGTTGAGCCAGCTATACTGAGAGGGGGACAACCTCCTGCACAGCCCAGGGACACAAGGCTGGGGAGGGCTTCAGGAGCAGGAGCACAGGACAGTGGATTGCAGAGCGGGGAGCAGTGCCTGCGAGGAGAACGGAGATGCTGAGCCGACTCTGGTCTGGAGAACAAAAGCAGGACCTGGCTGTGCAGATCAGTGCTCATGTTCCTCAGAGTCCCAAGGGTTCTCCCTGCCGGGGCCCCTAAGGGGCCACTTCCTAGGATGGATGGGGAAGACAGACCCAGGACCCCTCAGGAGAGGAAGTGCTTCCTCCCCACATTCCCCCAGCCACCCACCAGAGCATACCTCAAGGAATCCCACAGACGGCCCAGAGAAGGCTCGCTCAGCAATGGCAGCAAGAGCTCATCCAACAGGCGCTCCATGTCCTGAAGCCAATCCTCTGGGCACAGATCTGACTGGAGGGCCAAGAGGGGCACTAAGCTGATAGGCCAAAACACCCATTTTCCTCATCCTATAGACCCAGACTCCCCCCAACCCCCGCCATGCTAAGAACCTCAAAGGAAAAAAAAATCTGTTTGGAAGCCTCCACAGCCTGACCTTTCTGAAGGACAGACAGCCCTGAGCTTCCTCCAGTGCACAACATCTAGGGGTACATTAGAAGAAAAGACAAGCTGAGCTGCTGCTCAGGGGGCTCAGGTCCCATCAACAAAGTTCCTGGGAAACAGCAGCAGGAAGACACAGGTAGAAGAGAAAAGGAGAGGTGGGCTCAGTAGAGAAGCAGCTACACGTGTGAGGCTCCGGGTTCCACTCTTCCACTCCCAGCACCACATCTATACATACCGACCCCAAGCCACAGAGACGGGGAGAGGTGCCAACAGAGAAGGAGTGGGGAAGTGGGGTCAGAACAGGAGGAAGAGGGTAGGATGCAGAGAAAGACAGGCAGGCTACACTCACCTGCTGGCTCCAGGCCTGGTAGTAGGCACCCAGGAAGAGCAGGCAGGCACTGGGCACTGGGCCCAGGGCATTCCATACATCAGGTCTGGGCAGGAACTTTAGGGTCTGCTTTAGACATGGCTCGATCAGTGGCTGAAGTCCAGATACCTGTGTCCAGGTGACGGAAGAAGGGATGGCCGACACGCAGGTCTCAGCAGAGTCACTGCCGGAGTATCAAAAGGGGCAAAGGTGTGGGTCCTGCCGCCTTGCTCCCTGTGGAGGAGCATTCCCACCTGTTCTGGGTTGCTGCTGGGCATGCCTGCCGACAGGCTAGCACCTGGCCTACCTGCTGGGTTCAGGATGTGTGCTGCTAGCTGCCAGAGTCAGCTGGGTAAGAAGCGTGAGCAGAGAGGCCATTCGCTGCATGGAAACTGGCTTTGGGGGATGGGTGCTGAGCTCCGTAGGCAGGGTCTGCAAGGTCCGCATGAGCACTGGGTACAGCTCCCTGGGGAAGAACAACTGGCCTTCACTGTACGAAGAGACCAAGATGAGGGCACAAAGCACAGGCCTGCCAGGAGCTTCCATCTGGTGAAAGAGCATCGGGAAGGAGAAAGCCCCAGGGTGGAGACACTGTGCACTGCTATGTCCTGAAACTTGGGACGTTTGCAACCCTCCAGGTTGCCCCCCAGCACGGATCTGACACCTGACTTCACCAATGTACTAATGCTTTTGTCAAAGACTGTAGCTAACCTTCTCTTCCCTAGCAGGTCCTGACTCCCAAGCATCATCCAGGAGACATCCCTCCCTTCCCTAGCAGGTCCTGACTCCCAAGCATCATCCAGGAGACATCCCTCCCTTCCCTAGCAGGTCCTGACTCCCAAGCGTCATCCAGGAGACATCCCTCCCTTCCCTAGCAGGTCCTGACTCCCAAGCGTCATCCAGGAGACATCCGCTCACCACTCTTGGCCTCCCCTCCTCTGGACCCTGAACAAAGCTGAAGGAAGTAACAGTAAGACTCAAAACACACAACGGAGGGCTCTACAAGAGACCTACTCCCGCTTTCCTCACCTATAAAGGTGGCCACCCTGGCCATAGGAAGCGACCACGGCCCACAGACGGAAGGCCTCCGTGCTCAGCACCTCTGCCTCCTTGGCAGGCAAGGCCAGCTCTTGTGGAGCTTCGGCTAGGAACCGGCTCAGACGGCTCCTGAAGTCACAGCTGCGGAACTGGAGAGGAGCACAGGTGTGGCAGCAGCATTTCCTAACTGCTCTCTGGCTCTCTCTTGGAAAAAGGCTCAGGCTGGTCCCACTCTAAGTCTCTGTCGGGCCACAGGGCCTATGGCTCTGGGCAGGGGTGAAAGAATCTCGGCCCTTCTTCATCTTTTGTAAGCACTGATTTGGGGCTGCAGGTGCTCGCATGTCACAGCATGCACATGGAAGTCATCTCCTTCCTCCTTCCCTGTGGGCTCTGGAGACCGGCCTCAGATCATCAGGCTTGCCAGCAAGTGCCTTTACCTGCTGAACCGCCTACTGGCCAGCACTCCTTCCTCCTTTTTGGACAGTGTTTGCTAAGTACCTTTTCTAGGCTACAGGTGACAAGTGCCTATCTGCAGCTAGCAACTCTGGATCAGTTTTGCATCAGAGAACCTTCCCTACGTTATGAGACCAGACTAGGTCCAACAGACCCAGGTGCCCAGGCTCCTGCCTGCTGGTCTCTGTTGAGTTTCTGAGCAACTGGACCAGAGAGGAAGAGGAAGGTGAGGTGAGGTAGCTGTCCAGAATTAATGGATCATGTTTAATCTAGCCCAAATCAGCCCTGTCTTATGCCCTCCAACTTTTGCCTTGGGTCCTGCTTACCAGTCGGGCAGCAATATTCTTCCCAGCTGAGGCCAGGACTCTAAGCAGTTTCATGGCAGCAGCACAGGGCACTTTGTATAGACTGGAAGTAGGTCCCACCCCCATGGGGGACCAACTGGTAGGCAGGAATTCTTGAACTATGGTCTCTATTAGCCGAGGACACTCTAGAACCTGCAGGAGACAGGAGGAAAAGGGAGGCAGACAGGATCAAGATGAAGCCCCTCCAGCTGGGCACATACCATGGCTATGCCTATAATCTCAGTACTCGGGACGCTGAGGAAGGACTTCCACAAGTTCCAGGCTGCCTGAGCTATATCATGAGCCCTTGGCCAGCCCGTGCCATAATGAGACCCTATCTCAAATTAACAGCAACAACAAAAATAACAATAACAAAACCCACAAAATAAAGAAGGAAGAGCCCAGGGGTTGTTTGTCCACTCACCGCCCTGCTCCCCTTCTCACCCTCGTGGCTGACTCCAGGGAATGCCGGGCCAAGCGGATAAGGACAGCCAGGATGTCAAGAACCACAGAGGGCCCTGGGCAAGTCACCTCCAGCACATAGCGCAGCCGAGGCAGCAGGTTGGTAGCCAGGAGCCCCTAGTACTCAAAAGAAAGAAACCCATTGCCATATGAGGTGAAGACCCAGGTCTAGACCTCTCCTGCCCAATAAACCTGCCCACTAGGTCAAGACCTGGAAGGTAGATTGCCCTCTACCTTGATGACATCATGTCTGGCCAGGTCGGGGGGAGGGCGGCTTTCTTCCTCAGGGGTCTTCTTCGCCTTTTTGGTTGTGGGTTCTTCATCCTCACCTTCATCATCTTTGTCCTCCTGGCTGGGCATCAGAGGGAACACCGAAGCTCCATGATACCAAGAGAAGGTGCTGTCAAGGAGCTCCTGCCGGAGGATGGGGCAGAGTTGGGAAGAGACGGAAAGGCATGAAAATGGTTCCAAGGTAGAGCAAAATTCCTTCTCCCGACACACCAACAGCAGAGGCAAGGCTCCCAGGACTGTGGCTTTGAGAAGAGGCTGCCAGCTGCTCTCTGTTCTCCATTCTGCCTGCAAAGCCTTGGCAAAGGGCATACCCAGAGTGAGGAGCAGAACCCCCGTTCCTACCCCTGACATACCTCATCTCCAGGAGCTACTAGTAGGGAGCGAAGAGCCCGGACGGCTGCTGCGATGACACCGTCTACCCTGTCATCCAGAGAGAAGCGAAGCAGGAAGAGGAAACCAGCATCCAAGAGGAGGCGCAAGATACCGCCCACTAGGCAGTCTCCAAACTCACCAGCCTGGGCCTTGGGATCAGGGGGAAAAAACTGTTGAAGATGCAGAACTTGTATGGGCCTTGCTGGCCCATGACCCTGAATTTGCCCCATTCCTAGTCTGACCTACAGTGCAAAGAAAAAGAGTCTAAGCCGGGCAGTGGTGGCACACGCCTTTAATCCCAGCACTCGGGAGGCAGAGGCAGGTGGATCTCTGTGAGTTCGAGACCAGCCTGGTCTACAAGAGCTAGTTCCAGGACAGGCTCCAAAACCACAGAGAAACCCTGTCTCGAAAAAAGCAAAAAAAAAAAAAAAAAAAAAAAAAAAAAAAAAAAAAAAAAAAAAAGCAAAAAAGAAAGAAAAGAAAAAGACTCTAAGGCCAAGGGGTGAGGGGTGCGGTGGAGCTAGGGAGAACCAGGCCCGCAGTCCACTTACCCTGCCGATGATCTGGGACAACACGTGCAGTGCTAGGGCTCTCTGCTGGGACACCTGGCTGCGGGTCAGATGGAACAGCTCCTGGAGAGAGTACCCTGCTCTCTGGTGCAGGGACAAAAAGTCAAAAGGAATCAAGAACAGGGCAGAGTCCCCCAAACACCCAGGAAGATGTCGAGGAAAAGGCAGCATTAGCCAGTGATATCTAGTTCTGGCTCTCCTGGGAGCCTCAAGCTGATAAAGAATACAGGACATACACAGCAACGGTGGCAGAAAGCAGACAGGGATGCAGTAGCTGCTGGATTTTCTTTTTAAAGATTTTATGTATATGGATATTCTGTCTACATGTACATCTATCTGTCCACCAGAAGAGGTCAGCTTATCCCATGAGACTACAGTTACAGGTGGCTGTGAGCCACCACATGGGTGTTGGGAATTGAACTCAGGACCTCTGAAGGAGCAGCCAGCGCTCTTAACCACTGAGTCATCTCTCTAGCCCAGTAGCTGATGTTTAATTTCTAAGCAGAAGACAGGTGTGGAAAAGGAATCTGGTCTCGGTGGAGGGGTAGAGCTTCAATGGCCTAGCATGGACTAAGGGTGCAGCCGTTGCTGGGAGTGAGCCCTGTGAGGCTGTGAAAATAGGGCGACCATGTGGCCGTCAGCAGAGTGGTACAGCAGTAGAGAGGGCAGAGCTAGGGGGTCCATAATAGGCTGTGCTGCCAAGCTAGGAGCTGGGACCGTATCCTATGAGCAAAGGAGACCTAGGAAAGGTAAGGAAAATCAGGATGGCAGTCCCATGAGGGCTGGAACTGTCTAAGGGAAAGCACGCAAGGCCTGGCTCTTGAGTTCCAGAACAGAACGAGATGCCAGTAGGAGGAACAGCATTTTGACTCTGAACTGAGTGATAGCAAGGCCATGAGCTGGAACACGGCACACAGATTAAAGGCAACTGACCAGATATCCTTTTCTGCACAGATGTTAACACACCTGCCAAGAGCTTCCCAGTCCTCTCTGGGTCCCATGCCCACGCTTTACCTCTGCCTCTTCTCCATGGTGGTGCAGGCCCAGGTGGGTGGGCAGGTCCACATCAGGTGCCAGGAGCTCTCCTTGAAGGCTGAATCGGGCCTGCATTCTCTAAGAGAAAGAAAAGAGCTGGGCTCACACAGCAGCGACTTCTCCGTCACACTCAAGCCTTTTCGGACTGGGCCTGGGCGCTACCTCTGACTGGAAATGAGGGTCATTTCCTCAGGGCCAGGCAGGAGATGGGAGAAGCTGAGAGCACAGAAGAGCAGCGTCCCCATCCACCTGGTCCCTCTCACCTCCTGTGTTTGCTGCCGTCGGAGCGGGGGCAGGTCCTGTGTCCAGTGGAGCTTCTCCAGCTCAACTGTGTCCATATGGAGCCATTCTTTGTTGAGGGTCACGGGTAGTTTCAGTGCTAGGGAGGCAGAAGCACAGCATTCCTCAAGGGACTCAATTCACCTCTCCCGTAAGATTCCCCACTGGCAGAGGGCAGCTGCCACAGGCCCTCTGCATTGTCTAGCAGCTCCAACCCTCAGCTATGGCTCAATGGTATGGTTTGGGGGCTGGAGCTCCTGGGAACTGGATGAATGTTTCAACTCTAGCAGACACGGCTAGTCCTGGATCGAGAGAGAAAGAGGAGAAAAGAAAGAGGAGGAACAGAAAAGGAAGAACCTCTGCCAAGGAAAGTACCACAGTCCTCTCTGGTACCAGACCACTGAAGGAGCAAGGGAACAGGGAAAAGAGGAGGGGGCAGCTATGCTGTCCCAATGGTGCAGGATTTCGAAACACCTCTACCACATCCTCCAGCTTCCCCACCCCCACCCCGCCCCCACTCAACCTGCCTGGCTGGCCCAGCAGCCCTCCAGGAGCAGGAGGTTCCGGGTCATAATGAAATTTCCTCTCTTGTAATCCCTAATGGAATAATCTTGTTTCTGGGAAATAAGTGCTCCCACTGGTCTCTCTTCTGGTCTGGCGTGTCTCTAGTCCTGCATCAGATTCTTCTCCCCTTACCCTGGCCCTGCCATCCCCCTGCAGCACAGAAGAGGGAGGAAGCAGGAGCTGTGCACCTGCAGCAAGAGCAGGAAGATGCCTGTCTCGGGAGGGAGGGAGCGAGCGTCAGTAGCACCTCGCTGCCTCCTCAGGTGGGAGGGAGTAGTGGTAAGAGGATGAGAAGCAGAAGTGTGCGCACCAGCAAATGAGGGCTATCTGAGCCAATTACAGCACTAATGAAGATTAACCTTCCATCTCCACCTCTCCTCCCCATCAGCCAGGCCATGGAGGAAGGACAGTCTTTTCTACTTTTTTTTTCCGTGTGTGTGTGTGTGTGTGTGTGTGTGTGTGTGTGTAAGTAACAAAACACTCCTCGGAAGTGGCTTTTCTCATCCACCATGTAGGTTCCAGGGATCTAACTTGGGCTGTCTGGCTTGGAGGCAAGTGCCTTTATCCTCTGAGCCATTTCACCAGCCCACTCCCCTCTTCTGTAGCCCTGGTGTCCTGGAACTTGATATGTAGAAATCAGGCTGGCCTCAAACTCACAGAGGTCCACCTGCCTCTGCCTTCTAAGTGCTGGGATTAAAGGTGTGCGACACCACCGCCTGGCTTTCCTCACTACTCTTGTGTCTCTCCTCCCCACCTGGGGCTCTGGGCTCCAGCTTGTCCTCCTCCATGGGCTCACTGGTAGACGCTGACATGATGGGCTCTTCTTTAGCGACTGGAACTGTGGGTCTTCCTGGGCTCTGCCCCTTGGGGTCCTCAGTTCCTGCTTGCTCCAAGGCATGGCTATGAGATCTCAAGAAGGCAACCAAGCTGGGGTCTGGGAGTAAAGGGGGAGAGAATAAGAAGCAGGGTGGGCACTCCCTAGCCTTCCCCACACCTGACACCTGCTGAGAGCGTCCACCTCTGGGTGCCAAGGACAAGACAAACTGCTTCCCAGGCTGGTCCAGGACCCTTGCACTCTCCTGTGGCTCTGTAATGACACTGCCAGCCCACACCTGTAGCCCCTGGGGCCTGACTACCCCCATGGCCCTGCTCTCCACAGTCCTCTGAACCACTCTGGCCACCAGGCCAGAAATCTGAAGCAGCTGTGGCTTAGTGAATGTTGACTAGAGCCTAAAGGAAAACACTTAGATGAACAAGTTCTTTCAGTCAGTTTGTACATAGATTCACTAAAAACTGAACACACGCTCCATAAGCGCTCACTATACCGTGCGGAACAAGACTGACTCTGAGAAAGGCGTGGCAGACCACACTCGCCTGTGTACAACGGGAAGTGCTGTAGGTACACCAGAGGATAAATACAGCTGTAATAAGGCACAGCAGGAACTACGACAGCTCGTGCGGAGATGCAGATGGGGCCGGGGTGGATAGACCAGTCAGAAGCACTAACTCAGACTGAATCCGCAGGACCAGATGTGTAGAGCACTTTGTCTGGCACTTGCAAGGCTCTGGGTTCCCTGTAACACCCCCTGCTGCCCCACAATTAATTCCTTCTGAAGTTCTCACCATCAATGTGACTTGTGGAGAAGTTCTTAAATTTCTGAGCCTCTTTTTTTCCCCTTTATGGATTTTTTTAAATTGTTACTGGGGACATGGGAGGTTATAAGTGCCATGGTGCAATGGGGAGGTCAGAGGACAATTCAGTGGGATCAATTCTCTCTTTCACTTCCACATGGGTTCCAGGAATCAAACCCTGGTCATCAGGCTTGCTCAGCAAGCACCTTTACCCACTGAGCTATCACACAAGCTCCACGTTTTATATTTTTGAGGATTTTTGAGGAACGGTCTCACAGAGACAGTAGGCCTCAAACTGGACTTGTAGCTGAGCATAAACTCTGGCCCTCAAGAGTGCTGCAATTAAAGGCCTGTGCCACCCTGAGCAGCAGAGACTGAGTTGTTTTTGGTTTTGAGACAGAGTTTCTCTGTGTAGACTGGAAGTTGCTCTATAGACCAGGCTGGCCTTGAACTCAAAATTACCTCTGCCTCATGAATGCTGGGATTAAAGGCATGCACCACCGTTGTTGGGCTATTTTTTTATTTTTGTTTTTTTTATTAGTAAAATTAAGTTAATACCTATCACTCTCAGGAGTAGAGGAATAGTTTAAGAATAAAACGGAAAAAATGCATGAAAGTATTCAGCATATAGCACATCAATCTTCAATGCCATTAAATAAATAAATACTCAAAACAAGTCTGTCCTATATGCTGTAGTGGCTCACTGCTTCCCTCAGCTCCTTTAGGGGCTAGAGGTACAGTTCATGATAGGATATTTGCCTAGAATATGTAAGGACCAGGGTTCAATCCCAGCTACGAAAATAAACACACACGCGACAAAGTGCCCGGCACTCAGAGTAACAGCTGCTGCTAGCTTGGTCCCAGCAGGGAGATCTAGCATCATTACCAAGCTGAGCCAGTAACTGCTGCTGCTCCTTCAGGATCTCCTCGGGAGCCATGGCTTGCAGTCTTGCAACATTCTCTTCATGGATGGTCTGGACTTCCTGCTCAGCAGCCTGGCTCCTCAGCCCCTTCCCTGTGACCAGATTCGATCTGTGGAAGTCATGGCTGCCCCCTGGAAACTGGCTGCCTTTGTCCCTGGAGAACAGTGTTTCAGAGGGCACAGCACCTGAAAGAAGCATTATAAAGTAATCAACGTTATTACTCTGTCCTCCTGGCTCTACCTAGACCCTCGTCTCTTCAATAAGTCAACCAGTCCCAGAGACCAGTGATGAACTTGGGATTTTGCTGGACACCGAATGGAAACCACACAGCATTCCAGACATTCTGGGGAGGCGAGGTGGCAGCTTCTCAGTCACTCTTCCCTTAAGACTTATATGGGAAGACTTCCCTCTGAATCATCAGATCCTGAGTAGCCATCCACCACCAGGAGTTTACCTCTTGCCCTTCCATATCACTAATGAAAACTGGTCAATATTCTTTACAGTCTCGACCAGACACTACTAACCTCACCTCAGCACTTCCTCTTCAGCACTGAGCCATCTTTCCAGTGCCTCTTGTTTAATTCTGTAGATAATGTAGCTCTCAAGGACTAGAGGCCGAATTAATAACTAACCCTCCCTTAGTAGTTTCTATCTGAAGTCAATTCAAAGTATGCTTGAAGGAGCTGTAGACCAGGATGGCCTCAATTTCAGAGATCCACCTGCCTCTGCCTTCTGAGTGCTGGGACTAAAGGTGTTGGCCATCAGACACTACATAGCTGTTATTTATTCTTTCTTTATTTAAAAATAATTCTTGTCAAGTGCTGGTGGTACATGCTTTTAATCCCAGCACTTGAGAGCCAGAAGCAGGCAGATCTTTGTGAATTAGAGGCCAGCCTGGTCTACAAGTTCCAGGATAGCCAGGCCTAAACAAAACAAAACAACAACAAAAACCAAAATGCCAGGCGGTGGTGGTGCACGCCTTTAATTCCAGCATTCGGGAGGCAGAGGCAGGCTATCTCTGTGAGTTTGAGGCTAGCCGGGTCTGGAATTGGAGTTGTGGATGGTTATGAGTCACCATATAGGTGCTCAGAACTGAACCTGGACCTCTGCAAGGAAACAAAGATAAAAGGACAGAAAGACTAAATAAACTACATTTGAGAGCTGAAGTTGTAGCTCTGTTGCTAGCATGCACATCCTTGCTAGGATACATGATGCCCTGGGTTTGATCCCTATAACCCTATAAACTGGGCTTGGTGGCACAGGGAAGCAGGAGGATCAAATTTTAATATCATCCTCCACTAGACGGTGAGTTCAGGCCAGACTGGAATACATTACATCTGTCTCTGCCCCACTTCACCACAATCTGAAAAAGAAACCACATTTATAAGAAACAAAAAAGACTAATCTAAGCATGTTAGCCCAGCACTCACCCTCTGGTGGGTCTAGGTTGGGGACAACTTCCCCAGCTGCTGAGGCCCGGTTTTCAGTCGCCCTCCTTGCTGCAATCTCTTGGGCAAAGATGCTCCTCTTACCCGATGCTCCTGATTTCCCCTGCAGGGCAAAGAGAACAACTCAAGCTGCTGAAATTTATTACCTGCTCTTCCTTAGCTCCTTAACCAAGGCTCTGCAATGAAGAGGAAAGTAACTTTCTCAGAGCAAGCAGAACTTCTGGGATGTGAAGGTACACATCTGAAACCCAGCACTCTGGAGGTGCAGGCAGAAAGAAGAAGAGCTCAAGACATTCTCTGCTACACAGCAAGTCTGAAGCCAGACTGAGAAATGAGACCTTACCTCAGAAGAATAAAGAGGAACAGCAAGATGGCTAAATTGGTAAGGGGACCTGAAGCCTGACAACATGAGTTTGATCCAGGGGAGCCACATGTTGGAAGGAGAACTGACTCCTACAGGTTTTCTTCTGATCTCCGTACCCAGGCATGAACACACTTGTGAGCACACATATAAACATACAACACACGTGCACACACACCTACATCCATGTAAAAGTACTTGCTCTGTAAGCATGAAGACCTGAGTTTGTATCTCCATAACCCATGCAAAACTGGGCACAATTAGCACATATCTGTAATCCCAACATTTCTAAAGCAAGATGGGAGATAGAGACAGAAGAATCCCTAGAAATTCAGAGGCCATTTAAAGCTGGGTGTGGTGGTCACACCTTTAATTACAACACTAGGGACAGAGGCTGTTGGATCCCTGTGAGTTCTGTGAGTTCAAGGCCAGTCTGGTCTATACACTGGACTCCAGGTCAGTCAAGACTACATAGAGAGAAAAAACAAAACAAAAACCAAAGGCCATCTAGCCTGACGTGCAAAGCAGCGAACAACCAAGATTAGCTCTTTTAAAGAAGGTCGAAGGCAGGGAATGACACCTGAGGTGGTCTTCTGACCTCCAGAATTCACACACACCAACTCATGCACACACATCATACACTCATATACATACACACACCAAAGGAAAAAAAAAGAAAATAGGACTTGGACAGTGGATACAGCTCAGGGCTTATTGCCTGCCTAGCAGGCAGCCTTCAAACACTTGGGAAAGCTAAGGAAAAAAAAAATCTGTGAGTCTGAGGCCAGCCTCTTAGGAGACTGTCTCAAACACAACTGTGTGGGTCTCAGTGATTAGGAGCACTTGCTGCTCTTACAGAGGACTTGATTTCAACTCCCAGCATCCAGAAATGGCTCATCACCATCCATTAACTTCAGTTCCGTGGGTTTCAAAACCCTCTTCTGATCTCCACCGGCACCAGATAAAAGTGAAATTTTGAAGAGGACTGAAGAGATGGCTCAGCAGTTGAGAGCACTCGCTATTCTTCCATTCCCAGCACCCCAGCAGGCAGCTCACGAGTGCCTAGAACTCACTTCTGTGGGCATCAGCACTTGTGTGCACACATCCACCCATACATATAAATAGTTATATACATACAACTACATAAAATACATATAAATAAAAAAAAGTTTTTTTTTAATGGTTTTCCAATACAGGGTTTCTCTGTGTAGCCTTGGCTGTCCTAGAACTCACTATGTAGACCAGGCTGGTCTCGAACTGCCTCCCTCTGCTTCTGGCTTAGTTTTAAAATTAAAAAAAAAAAAAGGACTTTCCTTGTCAGTTGGTGGTGGTTCACACCTTTAATCCTAGCACTTGGGAGGCAGAGGCAGGCAGATCTCTGTGAGTTTGAAGCCAGCCTGGTCTACAGAGAGAGTTCCAGGACAGCCAGGGCTATACAGAAAAACCCTGTCTCAGAGAAAAGAACTTTCCTAAAGTACCTAGAGAAGATTTACCCTGAAACTCCTTGAGTACCACCTGTGCTAGACAGCATTATGCCAACGGATACCGCTAGAGTTATCTGGAAGGAGGGAACCTCAACTGAGAGAACAGCTCCATAACATCTGGCTATAAGGCATTTCCTAATTAGCGAAAAATGGGGGAGGGCCTAGCCCATTGTGGATGGTGTCACCCCTGGGCTGTGGACTTGGGATCTATAAGAAAGCAGGCTGGGCACTGGTGAGACGGCTCAGACAATAAGAGCACTGGCTGGGCTGGAGAGATGGCTCAGTGGTTAAGAGCATTGCCTGCTCTTCCAAAGGTCCTGAGTTCAATTCCCAGCAACCACATGGTGGCTCACAACCATCTGTAACGAGGTCTGGCGCCCTCTTCTGGCCTGCAGACATACACACAGACAGAATATTGTATACATAATAAATAAATAAATAAATATTTAAAAAAAAAAAAATAAGAGCACTGGCTGCTCTTCCAGAGGTCCTGAGTTCAATTCCCAGCAACCACAAGGTGGCTCATAACCATCTGTACTGAGATCTGGTGCCCTCTTCTGGCCCACAGGGATACATGCAGAAAGAATATTGTATATATAATAAATAAATCTTTAAAAAAAAAGAAAAGAAAAGAAAGCAGGTTGCGGAAGCCATAAGGAGTAAGCCAGTAAGCAGCACTCCTCCCTGGCTTCTGCATCAGCTCCTGCCTCCAGGTTCCTGCCCTGTTTAATTCCTATGCTGACTTCATCAGTGATGAACTATGACATGGAAATGTAATTGAAATAAACCCTTTTATCCCCCAGTTGCTTTTGATCACGGTGTTTTGCTGCAGCAATAGAAACCCTAACGAGACCCCACCTAAGGTAACCCTGCTTACCTGTCTCTCCTTTGAGCAATGGAACACAGCGGGGAAAGGGACACCACTGGACACAGGCAGAGTCACAGTGACTGAACTTGTATCCCGTTCCTGTGGCAACGGAACACAAAACAATGAAGATGCACAGGTTTCTCCAGGCTGAAGCCTAGTCCACTGGCCTCAGGACCCTCATTCCAAGGGTTCCTGAACCTATGTTGGATCTGTCCTAGGTGGTCTAACATAGCCCTAACCTGACTGCAGAGTGGGAAAGTCTACCTTTCTGCAGCACCCTCTGCTCATAAATCCTTTCTGCTCCAAATGGAATCTCCCCCGCCACCCCGGCTGGACTAACACGTACAATAATTTTAGACAGAACCGCGGTGATATGCTGATCGTGCCTACTCAGCCTCTCCTCAGGGTCTTCATTGTGAGGCAGGGTGTGGCCAGGACTAGGTCTAGCTCTCTTTGCAGGAGCGGGCACCAGAGCTGGGGGCACATCTGGGAGATCTGAAAGAAAGAACCCAGATGTTGAGTATAGCCACACTTTCCTAAGAAGATATCAGAGCTGGGGGCAGCAGCATAGAACAAGACAGACGTTCTGGGTCCTGGATCAAGCTGTGTTATCTTGGGTAGGACATTAACCTCTCTGAACCTCAACCTCTTCACCTATATAGCGGAGCTGCAGAGGTGCAGAGCTGCCTGTGGCGGTGCACACCTGGTATTCTAGAATTAGGCTGAAGACCGCCACAAGTTCTCAGTCAGTTTGTGCTAAATAGTGAGTTCCAACAAGCTTGAGTCACAGAGCGAGACCCTTTCTTACAAACAAAACAGAATGCTAAAAAATAAAAATAATACAAACTTTCAGCAACAGAGGTTACAGCTGGGACAGTATTCAGCCACCTCAGGAGAAAAAGGGGCTCTCTTAGGCTGACCCCTCTCTCCTCACGCCCATCCTGCAGGCACTCACTGTCCAGCATCACCACATCCCGACGGTCCTGCGGTGGGAGCTGGTCCAGGTGAGCATCACCATGTCTCCTACTTCCTTTCACCAGCTGTACCGCCGGAGTTGCACCAGCCTCGAGGAACTGACTCTGGAAGCGCAGTAGGTCCACCTCAGACTCTCCAGGCTTTGGTCTGGACAGCATCTTGGCACTAAAGCTGTGGCCTTTGTATGACTCCTTCCAGTCCTTCTTGCTGTGGGAATGTTCTCATTAACCCCTAGGAGCAATCGAACAACAGCCTTTATAACCGAGCACTGATTATGTTTTTCATGAGTCTCTGCAAACTCACTCCTCATCATCGCCATTTCTTTCTCTCTCTCTCTCTCTCTCTCTCTCTCTCTTTTTTTTTTTTTTTTTTGGGCAGAGGGAGGGGGTTGAGACAGGGTTTCTTTGTAGCTTTGGAGCCTGTCCTGGAACTAGCTTTTGTAGACCAGGCTGGCCTCGAACTCACAGAGATCCACCTGCCTCTGCCTCCCGAGTACTGGGATTAAAGGCATGTGCCACCACCACCTGGCTGCATTTCTTTCTCCATCAGTACTCTCTGGCCATCAATCTAGTACAATTATTTAGAGGCAAGGATGGTGGCACACATCTGTAACCCAGCACTAGGGAGTGAAGGCAAGAGGGTACAGACTTCGAGGTTATCCTTGGCTATACAGCAAATTCAAAAGTCAGCCTGAGATTCTGTATCAAAAAACAAATAAGAGTTGGCGTGATGGCACACGACTTTAATTCTAGCAATTGGGAGGCAGAGGTAAGTGGATCTCTGTGAGTTTGAGGCCAGCCTGGTCTACTTAGTGAGTTCCAGGACAGCCAAGGCTACATAGTGAGACCCTGTCTCAAACAAAACAAAACAACAACTAAAAAGGATATATAGCCAATTTAGGTTGTTTACAATCTGTGCGTGGCAAAACTCTCAAAATGTTCTCAAACTAGATGTTGGCAGCAACCTTATATATGCAGTAAAAAGCCACTGAATGATAAACTTTAAAAAGATAAATTCAGGGGCTGGAGAGATGGCTCAGTGGTTAAGAGCACTGACTGCTCTTCCAAAGGTCCTGAGTTAATTCCCGGCAACCACATGGTGGCTCACACCCATCTGTAATGAGGTCTGGTGCCCTCTTCTGGCCTGTAGGCATACACACAGACAGAACATCGTATACATAATAAAAAAAAAAAAAGATAAATTCACCAGGTATGGTGTAACATGCCTTTAGGGAGGCAAAGGCTGGTGGATCTCTGTGAATTTGAGGCTATTTTGGTCTACATAGAGAGATCTTGTCCGAAAATAAATAAATAAACAAATATATCAACAAGGATTCAATGACTCAAATCAATAAAGAAAGACACTTGCTGCCAAGCTTGGCAGCCTAAATTCAATCCCCACACATGGTCAAGATAGAGTACCAACTCCTGCAAGCTGTCCTCTGACCTCCACAAGCACACTGGCATGTGTGCCTACCTTCACAAAATACAATGAACAATAATGTAATAAAAAAGTGTCAAAATATGGCACATGGGAGAGCCCAGTACACCAGCCATCTTCTAAAGGCTAAGAACAATAAGAAGCAAGGAGACTGGATCTTAAGGGCCTCACCCTTTTACCTAATGAGAGGCTTCGCATATCAAATGGAGATTATTTCCTTGATTGAGAGACTTCAGTAACTGCCCTGAATTAACAGAATGTATTATTGACTTTTCTTCTTACTGACAGGAGCAAACAACTTAAGGGAAGGAAGGTTTAATTTGACTTTCAATTTTAGGATACATTGCCTTATGATAGGGAAGGTACCTGAGCATGAGCATGTGCCAGCTGCTTACATGTATTCTTGGGAAGTGGAGCGAATGCTCAGCTGCATTTCCTTTGATTCTTCTAATTTTATTTAGTCTGGTACCCTAGTCCTTGTGGTGCTGCTGCCCATATTCAAGGTGGTGACCTAGCCAGATAGGTCAGAATCACAACAGTGCTACACATCCAGTCCTATGCAGGATCATATGTAATAACTATTAACTATAGTTACTAGGCCAGTATAGAAAATATCCCTAACACAAGGACTGAAGGGAACAGAAATGTCAAAATAATCATGAGCGTATAACTTAAGGAATAGTACTAAAAGTCAGCTGTGATTGGCTATACTTATAACCCTAGCACTCAGGAGTTTAAGGCAGGATTGAGAGTCTCAAGATAGTTTGTGTGATAATATAACAAAGCCTTGTTCCAAAAAAGTCAAAAATAACATTACCCCTAAAAAGGCTTTTTTGAGCCTTTTCTTTAGAGTCAGGTGTAGTCAATGGCACAATGCTTGCCTAGCATGCATAAGGCCTTGGTTTCTCTGCCCAGTAAACACACACACACACACACACATATGCACACTCACAGGGCTGATGTGGGGTAGTTTAGCAGTAGCATTAGAAATCAGTAAGTCAATAATCAAATACCAGCTCCACTACTTATTAAGAGTAAAATTAGGCAAATTGTTTAAGCTCTTATAAATTCAGTTTCAACTGTAGAATGCACAGGGCTGGGACACCCGTAATCCTAGCATTTGGGAAGTGGAGGCAGGAGGATCAGAAGTTACAGGTCTGCCTGGGATAAATGAAACCTTTCAAAACAACAACAGTAAAAAATTATTGCACAAAACGTGCCTACCACAGTACCTGTTATATAAATAAACCTTAGTGAATGAAAACAGTTAGCTCCGTGCTACGTAAAGAAGCAAATGTACTCCCCCCACAAACTCCGGGAGAGATTTGTCTAAAATCAATTTGTGTTACAAGCTACACCCTGAATCACAATTAACTCAAAAGCGAAGGAAAACTAACAATGGATGCACTGGGTTTTCGAACTGCCCCTTACACCGCAGCCTTCACTTTGAGGACACAACCTGTCCGGTGACTGCGCCGAAGGCTCCAGTTAAGCATCTTTTGGATCACACCCGTAAGCCACGGAAAATGAAGAGCTGTGCCCCCGGTCTATGTGACACAGGGGTCTCAGCCACTGCTATGCAAAGACTCCCAATCAGGTAATGACAAAGTAATCGGACACCTTGCTCCTGCGTTCTCCGCTTGAACCACTTGCAGCGAGTCTCTGCAGCCAGCCACCTACTCGAACGAGGAAGCCCTGGGCGCCGCCATCTTGCCCGTGCGGAGCCGCACTTCCGCCGCCGCTAGAGTTCAGCTTCCGCCCAGCTTCCCGGCCTGCGGCCTCTGACTTGGCCGCGAGCGTTCTGAGCCTCCTTGTCCCGCGTTGAACATGAGCCCCAAGCAGGGAAGCCTGCTACACCTAACTCTATACAGGCGCTCGGAACACGCGCGTTTGGTGTACTGCAGTCCCTGGCCTTCCCACACACCCGCAGCTCCGCTGGCGGAGGCAAAGGCTGGCACAGCCGTCCTTGTGTTCTCACCACCGCGCTTAACTGCATCCTCTATTCCAGCGCGGGTGCTCACAGTCGGCACACAAAGATGGCACAGTCGCTGACCTCCCCGTGTGCTTAGGACGAGCGAGAAGGGAACCTGGAGAAGGATCCAAAGAAAGCAACGCTCCTAGAAAGCACTCAATAAGCACTGAGGTGTTGGAGAGAAGACAGAAATTCTAGAAAGGGCCTCGGTGTCATCAAGGTTACACGCTTCCTAAGCATCTTGCCTTTGTTCATGCCAGTCTCCCTTCCTGGAAATTCAACCCCTTTTTCTTTGTCACCCCCTCCCCAAAAGCCTTTCCCCTTTAAGGTCTAGCTACGGTCAACAGTAAAACCTTTACCAGTCAGGTCTGCTCACTGTACTGAGTTCGGATGATCTGAAACCTGAGCACTTTTATAGCAGGCTGCAACAATTACTGGTTACCTTTTCACAAGATTCCAGCCTGGTGATACAGAAGGCGCGTGCAATCCCAGAATTTGGCGGAGTGATTTTGGAGGATGGACCGATTTAAGGTTGGCTTGGGCTACAAAGTGCGACCCTGTGTGGTTTTTGGTTTGGTTTTGTTTAGATTTTATCTTTTTGTTTTTCAAGACAAGGTTTCTCTGTGTAGCCTTGGCGCTCCTGGAACTCACTCTGTAGAACATCTGCTTGCCTCTGCCTTCAGAATCCTGGGATTAAAGGTGTGAGTCACCGCTGCCTGGTTTTGAGATTCTGTTTTTTTATTTTTAGATTTATTTATTTCCTTTTAAATATACAAATTTTGCCTGCATATATATTTGTGTTCCATGTGCATGCATGGTGCCTTGAGAAGCCAGAAGAGGGAGTCAGATTGCCTGGAACTGTTGTTACAGATTGTTGTGAGCAACCAGGTGGGTACTTGGAATCAAACCCAGTCCTCTGGAAGAGCTAACAGCTGCTTTTGAATATGTATTCATTTTTATCGTATAAGTGTATACATGTTTTACATGATTGTGTGTATGTTTACCACTTGTGTGCCTGGAGCCCAAGAATTAAAAGGAGAGTGTCAGAGGGTGTTGGGACTGGAACTGGAGTTACAAACAGCAGCGCTTGAAGCCAAACCTGGGTCCTTTTCAAGTGCAACAGGTGCTCTAAACTGATGAGCCGCCACTCTAGCCCAAGGCAGTTTTGACAAAGTAAAAGTCCTGTGTATTAAAATGGACTGGATAGTCCATTGTTTTTTGTTTTGTTTTTGTTTTTGGGTTTTCAAGACAGGGTTTCTTTGTAGCTTTCGGAGCCTGTCCTGGAACTAGCTCTTGTAGTCCAGGCTGGCCTCAAACTCACAGAGATCTGCCTGCCTCAGCCTCCCGAGTGCTGGGATTAAAGGCGTGCGCCACTACTGCCTGGTAGTCCATTGTTCTTTGCCTGGATAATGCTCGCCCTTGAAGGATCACGGTGCACGCGGTTATCCTTAGTAAATCACTGTTTGAGGCCATTCTAGAGAAAGACCCCCGAGTGGAGAGACTCTCACTCAAGTCTCGGGATAACACGATCCCCCATGAACTCAGGAGAGACTGTCCTTGCTGTAATCACAGGAGGTTTATTTGACAAGGACAGGAACCAGTGCACTGGGGCCGAAACTCATTTCCCACGCAGGGGTAGAGTTCGACCCCCGAGTAGCTGGGAGAAGGGGTGTTTAAGGGAAGAAACCATAACCCAGTAATCCAAAGAGGGTAGAGAGGGCGTCATTGGAAAATTCCGAAAATACCAGTGATAATCACAAGGGGTAACTCCCTGTTTCTCAAGATTATAATCTAACTTTATGGTCAGCTAGTTCCTGGAACGGAGTCACTGAACCTGCTAACCTAGATTTTTGCTTCTCTCCCTGCTAGATTTTTTTGGCTCTACTCTTTTCGCAAGAGGGGTCTGAATTTATCCGGGTCTTTCACTAGGACAGTCAGTGTTAATTCAGTGGCTTAAAACTTCAGCAGGTGGGGGCTGGAGAGATGGCTCAGAGGTTAAGAGCACTGGCTATTCTTTTTTTTTTGTTTTGTTTTGTTTTTCGAGACAGGGTTTCTCTGTGGTTTTGGAGCCTGTCCTGGAACTACCTCTTGTAGACCAGGCTTGAACCACAGAGATCCGCCTGCCTCTGCCTCCCGAGTGCTGGGATTAAAGGCATGCGCCACCACTGCCCAGCACTGGCTATTCTTCTAGAGAATATTATATACATAATAAATAAATATTAAAAAAATACATATATATACACAGTGTTCTGTCTGTAAACCTGCAGACCAGAAGAGGGCACCAGATCCCATTACAGATGGTTGTGAGCCACCATGTGGTTGCTGGGAATTGAACTCAGGACCTTTGGAAGAGCAGGCAATGCTCTTAACCTCTGAGCCATCTCTCCAGCCCCTGGTGGAGTTTTCTTGAGCATTTACTACATGTGGGCCCTAGCGCTGGGCACAGCAGCTCCCAAAGCATCCTCATAACTCTCCCCTGAGCTCGGGGCTTTTATTAGCCTTTGTTGATACTGGGGTAGCTGAGATGCCCGGAGCTCAAATGTTCAACTTGCCCAAGATTACACAGTGACTGTTGGGTGAGGCAAAGGACAGCCCTGGGCTCTGCAATGCTCAATCCCCCTGAGCCTTCTCTCCTTGCTCTGGACATTTCTCCAGTGACCGTGGAGCCTCACCTTGAAGGCTGAATGGGGCNTTGTGAGCCACCATGTGGTTGCTGGGAATTGAACTCAGGACCTTTGGAAGAGCAGGCAATGCTCTTAACCTCTGAGCCATCTCTCCAGCCCCCAGAACACTGTATATATAATAAATAAATCTTTTAAAAAATCTTTAAAAAAAAGCAAAACATAAAAAAATTTTAAATAAATCTTTTAAAAAAAAGCAAAACATTAAAAAAAAAAAAAACTTCAGCAGGCGGGCTGGAGAGATAGCTCAGCAATTAAGAGCACTAGCTGTTCTTCCAGAGGACCTGAGATCAATGCCTAGCAACCACCGGGTGGCTGACTACCATCTATAGTGAGATCTGATGTCATCTTCTACCATAAAAGTGTACATGCAGATAGAGCACTCAAGTACATAACATAAATAAAACATTAGCAGGCATCAGAGTTTGCTGAAGACATTGATGAAGCTGTAATCCCAGCATTGCGGATGCAGAGGCAGGAGGACTGCTGCAGTGCTAGACCAGCCAGAAACACACACACACACACACACACACACACAGCTGGCTCTGCCCTGCAGCCTCCACCAAAACCTCCCAGAACAACAATAAAGCTAGGTGGTAACGACACACACCTTTAATCCCAGAACTCAGGAGGCAGAGGCAGGCAGTTCTCCATGAGTTTGAGGCCAGCTTGGTCTACCGAGTGAGTAACAGGACAGCCAGGGCTACACAGAAAAACCCTGTCTCGAAAGGAAAAAAAAGTTCTGCAGGTAGGGAAGGAACCATCACAAAGGTTGCAGAATGGAAGGAGGAAAACACAGCTCAGAATAAAATAATGGATCTCCCTGTGAACAGTGTACCAACTAACTACACCCCAGCCTGTTTGAGTTTGAACCTTTACAAGGTCTAAAGTAACTCAGGCTAACCTTGAATTTTCAGGTCCTCTTGCCTGCCTCCACCCCGCATTGCTGGGAGCCACCACACCCAGCCTTTCCTGACAAATCTTAGCACCACTAAAGGTGATCTGTTGCACACAAGTTCCCTCTTGATGTGATAGTTAGTGACCTGGAAGTACGAAACATCTTAAGAATTCTTGTCCCCAAAAAATCAGAATAGCTGGACAGTGTGACACATGCCTCTCTCTAATCCTAGTACTATGGAGGCAGAGGCAAGTGGATCTCTGTGAGTTCAAGACCAGCCTGGTCTACAGAGTGAGTTTCAGGACAGCCAGGGTTGTGCAGTGAAAAACCCTGTCTTGAAAAATAAAACAAACAAAAAAATCTCACCCCAATACCCACCTCATCTTTTGATGGGGAAACTATCAACCCATCACATCTAGTTAGGGTGTGGCCACCTGGAGCCCAGGTAGAAAAATCGGGAGATGCAGATGCGCACTCTCTCTTCGTGGTGCCCGCCAGGACCTATCAATTTCGGAACTCCCATTCTTATAGTGTAAGTTTACCCTCTTTAACCATTAAAGTATTCCTGTTACTCTTGAGCTAGCCTGATTACTTATCATACCGACATAATTCGCGACAATCTTTAACTGCTGGAGCATGTGAAGGGGCCAGACCTGCAGGTCCAAAGCTCTATGACATAAGGCAACAATAGTGTAGGACCCAGGGCAACTTGGTACACACCTGCCAAGACAGGCTCTATAGACCAACAGGAAGGTGGGCCTGAGTCTATCCTAAGGCAATACCTGATTCCAAAAAGGACCACAAACTGAGACCACCCACGCTCCACCCAGGAACAGACCATCCAAAGGAAATTCCTAACGTTTCAACTATTGTAAATAGGGTCACTTGACGTCCATTAGTTCAACACACACCCATCCTCTTTCTACCAGGGCTTCCCTAGACAAATGTCAGTCAATCAGGGGTCCTGAACCTTAAAAAAATATTTCTCAGCTATTATTTAAAAACCCCCCCCACCTGTGCTCAGGGCTCTCTGATCGTGCCAATATGTTGGGCACAAACAGAGTCTGAGTTTGCAAACTTGTGTAAGAATAAAGGCTCTTTGCATTTACATATGGGACTCGGTCTCCTTGTTGGTTTTGGGGGGGACTCTGTGGATCTGGGTATGACAAATAGGATATCAAAGAGGAGTCACAGAGAGGGCTCA